ATAACTCATTGGCTATACCATTACAAGATTTCTCTGGAAAATCTGAGGAAATTTTGTCATTTGAACTTTCACAACATGAGGAGCTGCTGGACCACTCTGCTAACATCAGAACATGTGATCCAAATCTAGTTCCTGAAACTTGTGGAATTGTATCACCAAGTAATTTATCTAAAGTATCTCAAGAAAACCTACATTTAAAGCCCCAACTTTCACAGACTGTGCTCGATCCTTCTACCAATCTGTGTAATTCTAAAGATGAAATAAGTCTAGAATTCGAAGATCAGACTAGGGCTCTCTCACCAAAACAAGTCTCCGAAACACCTGCTGATGCTGAACAACTTTTGACCAAAAATGTGCCAGACCAGCCTCCAAATATGAGTAATCTTATCAGAGTTCCAGACAACGAAACCAGTGTCTTAAGAGAAAATACGCAATTGGCCTCTCAGCTTTCTCAAAATGTTGATAGCAAGGGTATCGTTTTTGAAGACCAAAGCGCGGCTGTATCACCAACTCAAACCTTTGTAACTCCTGCAAAGGAAAATGAGTTTTTATTACTTGAACAAAATAAGGGTTTGGTAGACGAGCCCAACAACACCGGTGACTTAACAGGTGATGTAAGTCTTGAAGATGAAGACACTCAAACTCCATCATCAACGTATGAAACCAGTTTATCTGTAGACGAAAACACTACTGATGTTACTGAGGTTATGACGCAAGATAATCAAATTGAAATATTTGAAAAAGGGAATGTGTTGCTTGAACAAAACGAGGATTTGGAAAACAAGTCAAATCCAAAACATAACAACTCAACAACAATTACTGAAAGACAAGAACTGGATGAAAACTTTGAAATTGAAAGTTCGCTGCTAGGAGAAAATAGCTGTGTGCAAGACCTTTTGAGTAACTGTAGTAACTTAATGGATGAAGTATGTGATCACGACGCAGAGTGTGTAATGGTAACATCTACATGTCTTCCCAAATCGTTTGAGGAAAATCTAAATTTGTCTCTTCAACCATCTGAAATCGACAAGCCCGTGCACCCAGGTCCAGGTGAGCTCGAATTAAGTGAAAATCTGTTTGCGATATCACCAAACCTTGCAATATCTGATGGTGAAAGCAAATGTCTACCTATGCAACTTTCTCAAAATGAATGTTTACCCAACTTTAACAATGACCCTATAAATAATAATGCACTGAGCAAAACTGTAGCTTTATTAACAATGCCCGGAATCACATGAAGAAAATCCATCTTCGCCTATTGACGATTTTAAGTGCAATCTTATAAGTTTAGTAGACCAGCCAACAAATGCCGGTGACCTTTTAGGTCAACCTGAACTCATGCCGGATTTAACCAAAACTGTGGCTGTATCAGAAAAAGAAGATGAGAAAAATCTGAACTTAAATACTGAATTAGAAGGCCATGAAATCATATCAAATTCAGAAATTAGTTTTGAAGATAAACTGGAGATGACTACAAATTACGTTGAGACTGAGCAAAAAGAAACAAGCAAACATCATGATGAGGAATTAAGTGAAGCTGTTGAAATGGACAGACAATGGATGGTTGAAAGTGCAGTTGAAAATTCAGGTGACAACTCCAAAACACCCGATAACTGTGACAAAGATGAAACTTCTGAGAATGTAGCGCACTTTGAAATGCTGAAATCTCACATCGAAACAATTGACGCTACTTTGGGAGAAGAAAATAAAACCTGGGAAGTAATGGTTGAGGAGGAGCAAAAAGACATTGAGAACATCATAACAAGTTTGGTAGAAGATGACAAATTGGAACTAGTAGAAATTGTTAGTGCGGGTCACATTGGTGATCAATATGCAACAGAGGAAATCCAAAAGAGAGAAGATGTTTTGGATGAGTTTGAGACCACACAAGACCCACAAGTAAATAATAATGAAACGTATTTTGAACCAGTAGAAGGCGACAAATTGGAGAGTCTAGATTCAAAACTGGACAGTGCAGATGTCTTAGAAAGTGCTGGTGCGACTGAAGACATCTGGACAAAAGGAAACACACTGGATGATCTTGAGAATGTGATAAAGTCTAACGTTGAAATGGAAAGTTTATGCAGTAGTTCTGAAGAAAACATTGGGGAATGTGCAAGTGTAAATGAGAAACTGTTGAATGAATGTACTGAAAGCAAAATAATGGATTCTATGGACAGTTCGCGTGAGTCTGAGAACACAAATGTTGACTATACACGAGAAGTCAAAATACAATCGAAATCAAATGAAGAGGAAAGGTTTAAAATACCTCCTCGCAAAGTCAGGAGTAAGTTATCCGCTCCAGTGAACAATGTGCAAGAGGGCATTCAAAGTAGCCAGGTGGAAATAGTGGAAGAAACGCCATATATGCCGAATGAAATAGGCAAAACAGATTCTCTTTGCTGTTCAAAAGATGCCAGTAACGATACTTTTGCAGAAGATTTCAAAAAATATGATCAAGATAGCGACACTGAGAGCCCCTCTGAGTCCGAATCCGATTCAGAAGATGAAATGGAACTGTACATGCATTGTCTAAGAGCAGTTTACGGGCAACAGAGTTCGTCAAAAGCCACGAAGCTGGAACTAAATCGAGATAAAGAGTTCAAAAGAGCACCTTCAACCAGGAGTAAACGCTTGTCAACATCACTACCGTCCATCAGTGAATCTCTGGATGAGGAACAACTAATAAACTTAACGGAACAGCCGATAAACATGCAAGAAAAAGATATTGAGACAGTAGAAGTTCAATGTGCCGGTTTAGTTTTGCTCGATTCAAGTCCCAAAGAGGAAAATGATGATGATTTGTGGTGGAAGATCAATTTTTCCTGCAGAAATATCCTTAAATCATTGCTCTATGCCATATTGGTAGTTCTTTTTTTGGCAGTGTCATACCATTATGACTTTATAGCCTGCTTTGGCCTGTATGTGATATCAGTAATCTGGCTCTTTTTTCAAGGGGACAAGCAAACCGGAAAAAAGAACAGTTAGCTCAAATATGAAGAAAAATAAAAACAAGTAGGTACAATATTAAAACTATATTGAACAATTTCATTTTAGTCTGTGTTCACGTGGTCCTGGTTTAGGCCTGATGTAGATGTGCTTTTGTCATTTTCTAGTTCTAATTTAGTCCTGATAGTCCAGGTTTATTTCCGGGTGTAGTCCCAGTTTAGTAATTATTTTAATGTGTCAGTGTGAATCAGCCGATGACTCTCTTATAAATAGTGATGACTCGATAACTGGATTACAGCAGCTTGTGTTCCTCATTTACAATGGTTAGAATCCATCAGAGGTGATTTAGTCCTGATTTAGTCCTGGTTTAGTCCTGGTTCAGTCTTGGCAGATCTGCAGTGGTCAGTATTCTATTTCTCAAAAGTAGTCTCAGTGGTTGTGTGAGGGCATGTCAAACTAATCAAATTAATTTAAAAAGTTTTATGTAGCTAAAATGGTGTTTGTAACCAAGGCTAATCAGCCGTGGGCAACACCAGACTGGTGTAACAGAAATAATCAATTTTTTCACGTTATGTTACAGCTGTGCACATGACAGATGTTTTCTGAAAGACCCTGTGTATTCCCTATGGGATAAGGGGAGATATTTTTGCATTCTTGTAAATATCAAGTAAAGCCAGCAGACTATGGACCATTGCTGTAGCTTGTCAAATATACAATGTTTTAATTGTGTTGATTAATACACATCAATAAAATAGTAATTATTCAATGTAATCGTCATAATCGTCGTTATTGAAAGTTGATCCAATCCAACTTTATTTGTATATAGCATATTTTATAAACAGTACAGTTTCCAACGTGCTTCACATAGCAGTGTAAAACATTTCACTCTAAAAGTCTGCAGAATTATGTTCCAAACTAAAGAAACTAATAGAATCAATAGATAAAAGAATAATAATAAAATCAAAGCAGTACTAAAAAAAATTAAATAGATTAAAACAATCAATCAATAAATAAATAAATATAAATAAATTAATACATAAATAAACAAAAAAGACATAGCGGACCACACGACTCACGCGGTGTTAAAAGCCACAGAATCAAAGTGGGTTTAAAACGAGACTTTAAACTCTCCACTGTGGGGACGAGCTGATGGTGACATCTAGTGGCAGCCACCTAAAACTGCAACTTACTTACTTTTTACTCCGCACTACTTCAAACTGCAGATATAACAAAACTTAACATGTCCAGACATGTCCAGTATCAAGTTCCCCCCATTATTTTACGCAACATATCTTAAGTCTTTGTGTCCCAAATAAAAGCGCTATATAAATCTGATGTATTATTTGTAGTTATATGTAATCCAAAACATGCTACATAGTCATAGGAAGAACAGCTGATAGCTCATGGAGATCCATTAAATACAAACAATCAATGTTGAAAATACGCATCTAAATCTACTAATTATTTTTTAAATACACCAATGTAGTAAGGGTAGTAGGTGAATTTTATATAAATATAAATGCAGATTGTAATTTTAATTTCTCCAACTGCAGCTCGGAGCTCTTAGTAGCTCTCCTCCCCCTTCCAAATAGCTCGCCAAGGGATTTCGGAATTATACACTATACGTGCTGACTAACTAAAATTTTGTTAATTAGATGCCTATTACCATTGTATCATTATATCACTTAGCTGCATAATTTCTTGCAGCCTCTAAAAGTGGTAGCTCTCTTGCATTTTTGTTTTTGTAAAGGAAGCTCATCAGAGGAAAAAGGTCTAATGTATCCAGATGAAAGTACACAAACAACACATTTTTACAAGATACACTTATTACCAAACAAAATACTCGTTCTTTCAAGTTACCTTTATTTCATTATTTAGATATAGATATTGTGCTGTCACATTGTTTTATTTATTTGGATTAGATTATTGATCTTTTTGTGTCTGAAAATCGTTTCCTGCGCTCTGATTGGCTACTGAGCTGTCAATTCTAGAACGTGTTCGCCCCCGCGGGCCAATCAGCGCGCGCGTTGTTGGCCTGTGCGCTCTGTTCGTTCGCCGGTCGGGTTGCAGTTGCAGGTTGCTCAGTTGCACAGGCAGCAGCTGGAAAAGGGGAAGCCGCTCTAGCTGCTCCTGTCGGCGGCTACGGAGCGGAGTGATGGACCCGAGGAGCAACGCCGAGAGCGGGGAGCCTGAGCAGGAGCCGCGGGAGCTCTTCTCCGTGCCCATCCCGCGGCCGGAGCCCAGCACGCAGGAGCAGGAGAAGCTGTCCGGGGTGGTGAAAAATGTGCACCGCAAACTGCGTAGGAAATACAGAGAGGGTAAGAGGTGTACAGGCTCCTGCTTTGGTCTGGGGCCCCTGGTTCTGTCCCCGCTGCTCCGACATGGGCTTAGCCTTAGCCACATGCTGAACGCTAGCCAACACTCAGTCAATGGATTTAAATAGACATGCTAACCATGCTAAACACACGACTAAACCTGGATTTCTTTCTCTTGCACTGATGTTGTTTACTGCCAAAATAAGCGAGGCCTAACTCTGCTTTAACCATAAAGCTTTAGCGTTTTCTCCTGACACTGAATTGGATTAATCAGACTTTTGTCATGCAGAGGGTGAGCAGATGTCTCTATTTAAGTCCCACTTTTGAGCCTGTGTCCCCTGTCCCAGCAGATTTATCCCAAACCAGTCATTTGCCCCTCTTTTATACAAGAAATGTCCCAGGTGTCCCTATTTTTGACCAATTTGATCCCTGCCAACAGTAAAGAAGGCATAAATTGTGATTTGTTTAGTTAAAATATAGAAAAGCTGCTTAAAAATGACCAGAACACTAAGAAAATGTGACTATAGTGACTCACATTAGTGCCGAGTGCAGAAGTTTTCCTTAATTATGCACTCCTTTCACAATTTTATTAGTACCAACAAACCCAAAACAGGGATGTCCCAGTATTTTATTTTGAAAATCTGGTCTCTCTGGTCATGCACCATATTCCATTTCTTTCCATTTTGTTTTTCAGATTCTAGATTGTGATTCTGTTTTACTCCAAAATGCGAGGAAAGTGACAGTTTCCCTATTGATTACACTGTACGTTGCCATGAAATATCAGAAAGGTAAATTCCCAAATATGGAGCTATTACTGACTGGACTCAAGACCTGCTGTATTACAACACAAATCTGTGGTTGAACAACATTAATTTCAGCTGTCCCCATCTGTATTAAATTATATTGGCCAACAGAATGTTGTGATTTCAGCTGAAACTCAGCAATAAGTTCTTCTTGAAATTGACCATCTTATTACCATCATATGCTTGTTTGTGCCACTTGTGTTCAAACATAAACTTATTTTAACTAATGTTATTTTTCAGCTTTTCTAACTGCCAATCTAAGTTTGACTAAAAGAAAAAGTAGAATACGAATAATACTGAAGAGCTCCTAACTTCTTCTTTTCACAGCAAAATAAAGGGGTTAGAAAAATCCCCTTTTCTAGCATAATACGCACAAGTGCTGCACAAAATGGATAAATCATGAACAGATAATAAATAATAAATCCTAAAACAATATTGTTCTTCATATAAACCCAACTGTATTAAATAAAAATAGTCTAATAGTCAATAATCAAATGCTGTAAAGTAAAAATAACTCCCAATAACCCAAGTAATATTGTGCAGAGTACACTGAGAACATTCCTCGTTCTGCTGGTTGCACACATAAAGGTACACTATGTAACTATGTAAATATACACCCACCACTAAAGCTCTGGAAGATTGGTCATCTATAGTGTTTCTGAGACATTTCTCCTTTTTTCATCAGGAAATTGTTTCTAGATTTGGTTTAGTTGCTTTAAAGGAAAATGATTTTGGTTAACAGTTAGAACAGGGACCACTAAACCAAGATGAAAATAACCCTGTATTATTACTATTATTATTATTATTTAATGTATTCTTTTTTTACATTTAAAAACAATGTGAAAAGACACTATTCATTTTCTTTAAGCCATGGATAGTGCAGCAGCGGATATTGTGACGGTGACAATTTTGCAATATATTGTGCAGATAATGAACATAACATACAGTAGAGCCCGACCGATATATCGGCTGGCCGATATTACCGGCCAATATGGGCACCTGTAGACATATCGGCTATCGGCCGATATGCTTGCTGATATGGGCCGATATTTCACGTGGGCATGTTATACCTCGTTATAAAGCTTAGACTTTCTACATTATGTTCATTTAATCCAATTTACAGACAGATAAATCCTAATATGTGGCTCCGCATCAGTATTTATCTGCGGTGTAATTTGTCTGTGTCCGTACTGTCCCTGAACACACCACCAGAGTGACGTCACTTCACTCGCGTGTGTTTATTTACACCCGCAGCCGTGCGCAACATTGAGATTATTTTCTTTTTACGGACAATCGGTTTGAGTCTGGATTAAAAGGACATTTATTAGTGCAGACTTGTGATGTGAGGAGGAGCCTGTGTGAGCGGTGAGTGTTGGAAATACATCGACTTTGAAGCTAGTTTAGGTTTTGTTAGCGGTTAGCTGCTGTAGCTCCCACACATAAACAGTCTGTTTTCTATTGGTCTATTGTAAAGTGACTGTATTGACCGTATATTTGTTACTGGACCTGCATTGATATGTAAATGAGCTGTGATTAGACGTGTGAATGATCCACATTTATGCATATAATTAACTACCGCGGTGCGCAGCATTTACTGCTAAAGGCTAATAGCGATAGTTCACTAGCTAGGAGTTATGGGTCGGTCGCGATCGAAGCGGCTCTTAGAGCGAACAGCGGGAGCTCTTTTCTTAGGATCACTTTCTCTTCATGCCGCATGTAGACCCGTAGTTTGACAGCAGCAGCTGAAAACGAAACTTTCAGAAATCTGCGTGTGAATGACAAAAAAAGTGCATATTTGGCTGCAGTTCAGCATGAAATGAATCTAATCTTGGGCTCGAGTGCTGGTTTAGTTCAGTTCTGCTTGCAACAAAACAATCTCAAGAGTCGCTTTGCTTTAGTCAAAAAGAGCCGGTTCTCCAAAAAAAAACTGGAATACCCATCACTTGTAGCTAGAATGTGATGCAAAAATGCCATTAGGCTAATCTACAAGAGTCAAAATAACAATAAATGTAGCCTAAATAAACCCAATTTAGAATCCACTAGAGCCAAACTTAAGTTTTTTAATCAATTCAAGATTTACAGTAAATATATCGGTGATTATATCGGCTATCGGCAGCTCCAGCTCCCATTATATCGGTTTCATATCGGCCACAACAAAATCCATATCGGTCGGGCTCTAACATACAGTAACATTATTTAATAGTATGACCCTGGAACCAAAACCTCTTCTAAAAATACTGTAAATACTGTACTGAATTCCCCTGTGACATTTATATTTACTTTTATACTCTTTTTTTGTGAGTTTAAAGTCCTTCTATATTGATTTTACAAGATCCCTTATCTTGTATACTATATCTTACATTATGACTAAATGAAGGGTTTATTTGCCATTCCTCTCTTCTGTTTATTGTTACATTTTTAGCAGTTACTTTTAATATCTACTTGATTTGAAACAATGAGCAGTTTCTTAGATATGAACAGGAGTATTGTATAATGTAAATAGAAACAAGTATAGCTTTCTTTCACTTCCGGAATTAACTGATTATTAACAATCATACTTCAAAAAGGGAATCCAGGGAGGGCGATGTTGGAGTGACAAAATTGAAACTCATGATTGTAAAGTTATTTGAAATATCCTGACGGTATTCAGACAATCTTATGGTAATTCATCAGAAGTTAAAACACACCTATATTAGTCACAAAAGTGTAGAAAGATGACTTGATATAGAAAGGTTATACAGCAAGTTTGTTTTAGTTTCTAATCAGATCTTTAAAGAATGTAGCCTTTTTATTACCCATATCAACTTCAGAGTTATGGACCACTGAACCAGCAAACCTTAATAGTTGATGTGAAATCTTATTGTTTATCTATATTACAATAAAGTTAAACGTGACATTTATAAACACCAAAAATTAGGAGATGCAAATTGTGTTTCTCCAAAACATTGATCCTATGCCTCTATGTTTGACTTAGACTTCGACAGATTTTATTGATCCACAAGGGAAATGATTTGGACACAGGAGCTCACATATCACATTATAATACAAATATAAAAACTAAGAGCAAAGTATAAATGGTAATAATAAATTCTAAATAAGTACAGGTATCAAATAAGACATAATTGTATAAATGTAAATGTACAAGTCAAAATAAAATAGATAAGTTTCTAGTTTGTATAAGTTTGATAAGCTGTATGTATCACCTTTGTTTCTTTGAGTTGTTGTATCAGTAAATATTGTATTCTTTGTGTACCGTTGTTTGTCAGATGTAAAACGGATACTTGACACAAAAGGATTAGCCATACACTGACTGGAATGTACAGAAGTCTGGAGCATTGTCATTGTGTGATGATTTCTTGTCTTTGGAAAATTCCAGTGGAATTGGGCTGCACAATTAATGACAACAAAACTGAAAAATGAATTGCTAAAATCAAATGCAACATTTAGGAAAAACCTGCTAACCCAGTAGTTTACTGTTATACAAACATGTTGTGAAATGCATGTGACTCTTGTATTAGGTTAGCAGTTCATAATAGTACCTTCTTCTCTCAGATGGTAACGTTCCTGGATGTGTTATTGTGCACTCTGAAACTGAATCCTGATTTGAAAAGCTACATTTGAAAATCACAAGTGATCACATTCACAATATCTTTAGAGTCTTAAAGGCGCACTATGTAATGCATCTGTTTCCATGGAGATGGGGAGTTGATCCCACCAGGCCAAATTACAGGTCAGATAGACTTACTTAAACTTAGACAAACTTTATTGATCCATAAGGGAAATTATTTGGACAGAGGAGCTCACACATAACAATATAATGTAATAACAAAAGTAAAAATATAAATGGTAATAATAAATAGTAAAAGTAAAAAAGTAAAAAGTAAAAGTAGCAAAAAAAGAGCAAGAGACAGGTGTGAAAAAGGCATAATTATATAAATGTATATGTACATGTCAAAATAAAATGGAGATATAGTATATAGATATAAGTTTTAAAAAAAAAGAGGTCATAGAAGACAGTGCAAAAATGATAAGATGATTGACAGATCTGTGGAGTGGTGACCATTGTCACCATGGGAATGCAAGTATTTCAAGGTATTTTTTTCAGAAATAAAAATTATGCTATTATGTGGAAACACAATTACATTTCCACAGAGACATGCAGTTTTATAGTGGACTTTTAACTGGGCAAATCCTTCCTGTGAATTTTGTGGCATTTGGTAAAAAAAAAAGAAAAAGAAACCATTGTCTTAAACCCTCACGCTCTCCTCGGGGTCACATTGACCCAAAGACATTTTTTTCCTTCTTGCTCTCTTGAGGTGGGTTAATCAGACCCAAAAATTGATTTTCTCGCCTGATGAGAATTTATTTGAAAATAAATGTTTGGGTCTGATTGACCCGCCCCCAAGAGACCGGGAAGGAAAAAAAAATCTGTGGGTCAATGTGACGCCAAGGAGAGCGTGAGGGTTTAATGAAATGCCATATTTGAGTTGTTCAGTTTGTTTCAGTTTGTAGTCTTTCTCTGGAAAGTGTATTCTTCCTCATGATTGCTAATAAGTCAGGCATGATCAGTCTTGAGCTTGAAATTGAGTCATTGGTCACGCTCTTCGGTTGTTTACTGTGTGTTTTGTTCTTTCATTTCTGCAAATCTGATCCAGTTTTTTTTTTTTTTCCCTCATTTATGGCCCTGGGGATTATACAGTTGTTATCAAGTAGTTTGCCTTCGGACTGTAAACTCTGCCACAGTGAGGCGAAGCTGCGGGGATTTTAATGGGAACTACTTTTTTTACTTTAAAATGAGGAAGATAATTTTGTATGATGTATGAGTCTGCTAATTTGTTAAATTTTTTTTTTTCTGCTCGGGCAAACACAGTGAACAAGTAGGTGTCTGTGATTGGTTTTATTATTTTATTATAGTCTATTATGATACAAAGGTGTTCATATGTGGTTAACTGCCTACGTGTTATTTTCACTACTGTTTGCGAGACGGTAGTAGTTCTTCAAAACTTATGTTCTGTTTTTATTGCCTTTCTTTCAAAAATTGGAATAGGTCAAGGAAGAGTAAATTCTGGTGTGTGTTCATTAGGCATTGACTGGATATTAGGTTGTTGACTGTTAAGAGGTTTTAACCTGCAACCAAATTCTCTTTAAAGACACTCTGTAATCTTTCTAGTGAAGGGTCTGTCACCTGCTTGTCTCCATTCCTTAGTATGATATGACACTTATTTATCTCCATGGAAACAAGCAGATTCAGGGGTGGGTTAAATCACAAAATCAACAGGAAATGCATTGGCTTTCTGTGTTCATTGACCATAAACCTGTCCAGATCAATAGTGTAGTGTAAAGTGATGACTTTCTTGTGTTTTTAGTGGGCGACTTTGATAAGATCTGGCGGGAGCACTGTGAGGACGAGCAGACGCTCAGTGAATATGCCAATGCCATGAAGAACCTCGCTGACCACCACTGGACCAGGAAGTGTGAGGGAGAGGGACGCATCGAGTGGTGCCGCAGGTAATGGCTGCAGTTTTCAGACTTTAGCCTTTAGAGACAATCTGGGAATGGATGGGGGAATAAATAGGGATTGACTGATATGTTGTTTTTTTTTCATCAACAGCTTTGATTTTTATGTTATTAGGTTCTTTTTTAAGACCAAGAGTTTGTTTTCATACCTGATCCTTTTGACTGCTCACTAGCGGTCTTCCTCAGAGTGGTCACGTAATGTTGCTCTGAACATGTATTAATCAGCTGACTGGACACATCACAGCAACATTACGTGACCACTCTGAGGAAGACCGTTAGTGAGCAGTCCAAACTCTCAGCTATGAAAACAAACTCATAACATAAAAATCTAAGCTGTTGGTGAAAAAAACATATCAATTATCAGAAGACCAAATGAACCTCATTGGACTATTAAGCTTTGATTTTTAGGCAAATTATTACAAACTATGACAACGGTGTCATGTGTTGTCCTGAAAAGTGCTCAGTGCGGTGGGGGGTTGGTCAGAATTGTTGATGTTTTGACCTGGTTTATATTTAATCTCTGTGCAGCCATAGAGGACAGTGAAGTGAAGGTCCTGAGATGACAAATGATTTAATCATGTTTCTTGATGTGTGTTTCTGCAGTGTGTGTCAGGAGTACTTTTTGGATGGAGGGATGAAGAAGATGATTGAGAAAGATGAGAAGACTGCCGCTGCTTCCCTGGGTTTGAATTCAGTGACAGCGAACTCCCCAAGTCACAGCTCTGTCCCCAGGTGAGAGAGAATTAGTTTATATTGAGTTTTTTGTGTGATTAAAACATTGGCCAATGCTAATGCAGTATTTAAATAGAAATACTGTGCTCAAGAAAGTTTAAAAAAAAAAACACCGATTGTTAAATTTATTAGTGTTTGCTAGGAAGCAAACCAACTAAATTAAAAGCTGCTACCACAAATAAATAAGACATTAAATAAATACATTGATGATAATAATTTAGATGTTTTGTCCTGGCCTGGTCCTGTTGACGTTTTACTGGTAATACTTGAGATTTAAAAAAAGATTATGGTGAATAAATCAAATATTCCCTAGACTGCTTTTCGGAATTTTATACGTACAGGTGGAATGTTTTGAGACTGAATTCATTCTATTACCTTGTTGTATTTTTCCTTCAGTTGGGCGTCTCAAATGGGAAAGATGCGCCTGCTGGATGTAGGTAGCTGCTTTAACCCTTTCCTCAAGTTTGACGAGTTCCTCACTGTTGGGATCGACATCGTCCCAGCCGTCGAGGTGTGTTTTATTCATCTATTTTCTTGATACTGTAAAAATAAAAGGACACATACATTGAATATGTTTTTAGTAAAGGTACACTAACATATCCATTGTGCGCGGTGCGTTGGAGTATTTCCACCCATTCTTCTCTCTCAGCTTTTATTGTGAAGTGAAAGAAATCTAGACCTGATGAGAATATCCAAACAAATCAAAAGTACTACAGTTGAATTCATTTTAACGGCTGTATTTGTACTAGCAGACATTTCCTGTTGTTTGCGAAGCCTGCTGTCGTAAATAAACAGTATGAGATTTCCTGTTAAGCAGCTGACTTGGTGCCTTTGTGCAAGCTCACTGTCAACCCTGACTCATGAGATTATCAGATGTGGTTTAACTGTGAAGAAAGAGGAACAGAAAATTTTTCAGAATTTTTTTTGTGCAGCTTCAGCAGAACTCATGTGAAGATTTAGAAATACTCATGCTCTTTAATGAGATACTTCCTTTTTTTTTTTTTTTTTTTTTTTTTGAAAAGTGTGAGTAAATTAGAATAAATCACAATAAAAATTTGGGTTTAGCAAATGAAACTTAAATTTCACAACGTTCTATAGGCCATTATAATTTATTAAGATCGATTTGACTTTAAAAGAGTGCAGACTAAAGCCTTTCACTCGCATGCACATAAAATCATGTGAGTTTTTGATATTAAATGAATTTATTAGGCACTGCTGTATTTTTAGTTACTGTGTGAAATGCACCTTACCAGTCCTGGACCAGTGTTGAAAATCAGCACATGCTACAACACTTTAAAGGATACATTTAATTTTATGTCTATTTTTTAAAATACATTTTATTTATTCATTTTTCCAAGTTTTGTGTAGTATAAAACAAACCATTAAATATGACCAATACAAAGCTTGGTGCGCTGTTTTACTGCATTAAGGATGTAGAAGGGTGGATCAAGTCTCTTTTTGTTTATATTTCAACCATTTTGTTCAGTATTTATGAAGAAATGTCCTTTGAGTCGTAGAAAAAAGTCAGTTGTTCCATGGAATATATTTCTTCTATAATGTCGAGCCACTGATTCAGTGACGGTGGGTCCTTTTTAAACCAGCTTCTTGTTTTTGCTTTTTTTGATGCCAATGTCAGAATCTCGAAAAGGTTCTGTCTGCTTTTTCGATCACCTCTCCAGACAGAAGGCCCAACAAAAATCTCTTTGGGTCCTTGGGGACGACATAAGTCAAGATTGTATCTGTTTTTTCAAACACATTGTCCCAGAATGATTTTAACTTTGTACATGTCCAAAATATATGAGAGTGATTGGCATTTGAGTGGCCACACTGTCTCCAACAATGATATTCAAACAGTTGTACCGTATTTTACGCACTAAAGGGCACTCTGGATTATAAGGCACACTGTTATTAAATTGTCTATTTTCGAACTTTTTTCACAAATAAACCACTCCGGACTTTAAAGGAAACACAACAGTTGGATGGGTGAGTTTGTTTGGAGCGTTCACAGTGACTCTGGGCTTTGTTCAGTTGTGGCGTGTAGGGAGGGTGCTGTCTGGGACCAACGGATTGTCGGCGTGTTCACAGTGACTCAGTTGTTCAGTTTTGTCTAGAAGTGGCACATTGCACTCGCTTTTTTGGTTCGTTCCTCTGTTCCTCGTCGGTGTGGAGTGATGAGAGTGTCTGTGGGTGTGTTTCTCTGCGCGGTCGCTGTCTGCTCCGTGTGCTTGCGTGCGATGTGGGTGGTGCGGCTTTGTAGTTTACTAAAGTCGTGCTGGGACACCCGAGTGGATTCGTGTATAGGGCACTCTGGATTGTGGGGCGTGTAGTTGTTTTTTGATGGAGTTGGAGGCTTATGAGCTCGCCCTATAGTGCTTTGGCAGTAATTTGAGCACTAATAAAGAATTGTATAAGACATTTCCAACTAAATTCCCTCCACCCTTTGGAGCTAGTTGAGTTTTACGTCCATTTTAAGTGCAATATGTAACTTTTCTGGTACACTGTCTGCTTGTATATATGGATATGTTATTGCTTTGCCTGGAATGTCCTTTTTAAAGTGAGAATGCATGTTTAAAGTATGTTTAAGCAATAAAAACACAAGTAACCATCTAAATACCAGTTTGATTTGGTTTAAAGCCATATTCTAGATCATTCTATCCTGAGCAATTACATCTCCAGCAGAGCATCAGGTGGCAGATATTGCTCCAAAAAGTGACCTAGAACTCCTTTTTAAATAAATCAATGACTGACTTGATGCTGTTGTAATAATAAATCTGTTGTTCTGTGTTGTCTCCAGACTGTGCACAAGTGTGACTTCCTGAACCTCCAGCTACAGCCTCCGTTGCAGTTGTCCCGGGACTCGGTGGAGGCCTTCCTGCGTCAGCTCCACAGCCCCATCGACGCCCTCCCCGCTCAGCTGTTCAACGTGGTCGTCTTCTCCCTCCTCCTGTCCTATTTCCCCTCCCCCTACCAGCGCTGGATCTGCTGCAAGAAAGCCCACGAGCTCCTGGACCTCCACGGCCTCCTCCTGATCATCACACCCGACTCCTCGCACCAAAACCGACACGCGCTCATGATGCGGAGTTGGCGCGTCGCCGTCGAATCTTTAGGTTTTAAGCGCTACAAATATGTCAAGTATTCGCACATGCATCTTATAGCATTCAGAAAGGTTTCCCTTGCGACCACCAGCGATTTAGTTTCCCAAAATTACCCGGAAATGCTTTACATCCCGCAGGACTTTAACACAAGTGAGGAGGAGGAGAGCTGGGATGTGCCCGTGTACGTCCGATCTGAGTTTGAGGATGACCAGGTGGCGTGGGGATTCAGTGAACTCCCCGAGACGCCGTACGATTCAGATTCAGGGGAGAGCCAAAGCAGCTCCGTGCCCGGCTTTCACGAATTCGAAGACCCCATTTTGCTCCAAAGCTAAACCAGATGCTCGCCGCTATCTGTGTGTGAAAGTACAGGCAGGTTTTTATGGACAGATACGGTACGGGTCGGGCCAATAGTGTTTTTGGTAACACCTAAAAGTAGCCAACTAATTTACACACATATTTTAACTATTTTTGAAGTTAATTATACTTATTAATAAAACATTAAATACTGTTACATAATAGACTAATATGCTTCAATCTAGACCACAAACATATCCAAGAGGAGTGACTGAAATCACAAAATTTTAACTGCACATGAAGTAGAGCTGCTCAATTATGGAAAATAAATCATTATCACAATTATTTTGGCCGATATTGAAATCACGATTATTCAGACTATTATTTTTTAGTTACACAATGCATTTATTTAAAAAGAAAGCACACACACACAAACACTTTCAAATTGAAAATATGAACCTTAGAGAAGTTTTGCAAAGTATAAAACATAAAATATACTTATAAGGCAAAAAAGTATAAATGTATCCAAAATAAACTCTATATCCAGCTGTTCTACAATCTCTACATTTAAAAAATAAAATGGATATACTTATTTATATAAAAATATCCCAAAATAAACTTTATTTCAACTCAATTATATGAGTGATTTGACACACCAATCAAAATTGCGATCAAAATTCAGTTAATTGCACAGCTTTAACATGAAAACAGCTGTAGAGATTTAAAAATTAAATCCTTAAACAAAACAATTCAACCATTTAACAATTCTTAATAATAATACACAAGGTTATACAGTGTTACAAAAAAAACACTTGCTTTACATAGTCATGGAGGACTGATTGGGTGATTAAATTGTATCCCTAATTTATTTCCAGCGCCTCTTCTTTCTATAAACTTGAAATGAATGAATGAAATAAAAGGTTAAGATGCACTTTAGGATTTCTGCAGGTATTTTTGGTGCACTGCATTTGACCCATCCTTCACTGTCAAGGGTTAAACATGTCAAGAGCCGGTAACCCATCACCTGATTTAGAACTTTAAAAATACAATTAAAATGAGTATAAATATTTTAAACAGGGTGTATTATTTGCATTTTTAAATACTGACATTTGCATGACATATTTCACAGTAAAGCTCTGAACTACAAGAACAAAAAACAAGAACAAAATGTGTATATTTTTTGTCTATTTGACTGAGTGCAATAACGGCTTTATTACCACAAAAGCCAAACTATAAACCAATCATTTTAGACTACTTTTCGATCAACTTGGCCTGACCCGTGCCGTCCCGCTCCAGTGAAAACCTCAAATCTCTCCCTCTCTGCTGCGCTGCCAAATCTACTGCCTCATCCTCCTCCAGCTCCTCCCATGATGCAGTTTGCACAAAAAGACGTTTACAATCATATTTCTCATATCAAAACTACACACACATCACCACACAAATACATTCAACGCACCTACACTTCAGATGGATATATTTTGATAAATATCTAGTTTTTTAAAAGTTGGAAAAGAAGAATGCCCCTAAAATTTCTCAGCCCCCCCGCTCCTATTTGTCTGCCCCATCTTACACTCAGCTTTTAACTAAGAATAAGCTAAAGCGGCAGGGTGCTCAGTATAGATCTTTTTGGTGATTGTAAACAAAATGGCTGTGCACAAAAAGTTGGAATCGACCACAACTGTATGGTGTTGATCAACTACTACAGCTACTCGATTAGAAAGTCACTGATACGCAGTACTATACGACCACGTTAGTGTAGTATTTCTAGTGTTAGTTATCTGTTTAGCACATGGTTGACGATGCAAGGAACAATACTGGATCCTCGAGAATGAGAAGAGTTATGAATAAATACTTTTTTTTTTTCATAACATTTCCTAGGCACTCTCTTCAGTCAAACTTTGGTTCCATGGCTATCTATAACTATATTATTTGTGGCACTCTTCAGCTGTCTAATGTGAACAGGTTAGTCTATTTTGATTGCTGATAGGCGGCAAATAAAAAAAATCCCACATACTCACTCTCCAGGTTGACTGCAATCTTGATCTTGAGCCATGAGACCTTGTCCCCCATTCTTACTACTAGGTACTAGACTGGATAGGGCTGTGTAATGACAAAAATATAGCATTTTTTTTCCCTCACTGACAGATTTTTTTTTTTCATAAAATCAAAACTTAAAGCCAAGACAGACTTTAAGTGCGTGCCATTTAACATTAAAATTTTTTTCTTTTTTTTCCCTACTCTTTCAACTACAAAATGTTCTTGACGCTTGTATTTCGTTTACAAAAATCTCTCTTCTACTTAATCTGAAAAATATTGGTATTCGGAGTGCCATTTAAACTGCAGCGTCTCGATTGCTGTGTATTTTGTCAGATTAACAGTGTAGCAGTAATATCATTAGAAAAAAGCTTACTAGGTTTTATTACTAATGTGAAACAGTTTACGTGTCAGTTCAGTGTTTATCATTGTCTTTCAGTTCTTGAAACTCTAGCATTTTGTTGTTTTTAATTACACGTATCCATTTCTTCAAATCAGATTTTGGGCTTGTTTAACTTGAAATAGTTGTAGGATTTACACATTTAAAAATTATATTGGTATAAATTTAGGTTTTTACAATTCCTAGTAATTAAAAGTGCACTATATCTTTTCTGGTGGATGGTTTACGGGGAGATGTTGACTCTTGGAATTTTCCACAGCACGGCATTAAACTAATTTATCTTTCATTTAGTCATAATCTGGTATTTTTATAGCTCAAAGAATGAAATACATACATTCTTAGAGCGGACGAGTGAGTGACCTAACCTGTTCTCAGTTCTGATTTGTAACTTGTATCCATGGAGATACAGAAGTTTATTGCCATTCTGTGGAACATTTCAGGCAAAGCAACAACATCTCCAGGGAAACATTCAAGCAACACTTTACAGGGCACGTTGAAAGCAAAGGTACACAGATACTCCTCAAAAGAAATGATTTAGCTGAACCTTATTTATACATTTCTTTGAAGCGTAATAGGCAGGAAATCTTGTTTTAGATGAAGGACTGCACCAGTTTGGGAGCGTGCCAATGGAGGTCCACTGTAAAAGTTATCAAAACTGATCAACACGTTTTAACTCTCCTTTCAAGTCTCCCCTCGTGCTCCTTTTGGTCAGTCCCCTGTCTCTCTGTGACTGAACACGTTGCTCGAGTGAATGTTTTTGTGAATAAAATCGTTGTAGATTTTAGCAATAGTTATTTTTACCCGGTGTGACATTCAGTGTATTTAAAAGTTGTAGTGGTTCTCAAACTGATTGCAACAAGTACTTTCTCTGGCATGTATTCAGTGAGGTGTTTTATTACCTTGAAAATCTTTTTACCATGAGTGGGGTTGCCTCTTGACGAATCTAACCTGTGAAACTTTCCAGGCAAAGCAATGACTAAAGATCTGATAGAACTTAAACAGCAACAACAGCTTCCATCAAGACCCTTGCCTGATTTGGTAACATCTAAAGCAGGTCTAGAACTGGTCTACAACAAATCCATTATTCAAGATCGGTCAACTTCCACCAGCTGTACTTGCACCACAGTTTGATAACCACTGCTGCATAAGGTTTAATGATATTAGCTCAAACACTACCTTAAACAATGTCCGTGTGTGAATCAGATTTGTGTGAATGAAGGAAGATGGCATTTAAACATACTGATCCCGATTTATTTTCTTACGTTGAAATGGTCAAACGAAGGTGCCTTGTTAGTCATTTGTCAGTTCGCAAACATGGGCATCAAGCTTTTTAAACTGCAGTATTCAGGGTTTCTCCAAGGTTTTCCCAAGTAAAGACATCATATCCTTGCATATTAACAGTTCGAAAATCATTGCTCTGATTGAGATTGAGAAAGCCACTAAAATGTTGTTTGTTTATCGAAGTTTAGCTGCTTAACGAAATCGCCAACATAATACTCTTTTGAATTCATATGCCTGTCAATAATTGCAGCATTTGTAAGCATTTGTTAATACAAGATTCACGTACTTCCAGAAATTGAAAAGGGATAGAAGTATTGCCAAATTGTCCATTCTTTTATATTCTCTATTCTTTGCTCAAAAAGAACATGATATATGACATTGAAAACCTTGGCAATTCCCTGGTGCTGGTTTGTCCTATGGTGTTAACAAAGCATTTACTTGTTGCCATTGTACCATATCACTCACTCTATATATCTGTACTGAAGCTGAAGTTTTCATGGACATTAAAAAGTGTTAAACGACTTAAGTGATAACCAGGTGCATTGTCTTCCACTGTTTCTTTGATCCGTTGCATGAAAGTTTTGTCATTTTCACCAGCGCAGAACAATGTGAGCTTTTAGTATGGTTGTTTTTCTCTATTTTATAAATGAATGTAATCAAAACAGCGTCTCGCGTGGTTTATTTTACCTATGAATTTTCTCTACACAGCAAAAACTGGAGTGTTAAAATTGACTCTCACAGAATCAGTTTTAACATTTTCTCAGGGTTTTTCTGAGTCCAATCTGTTCAAGAGTTAATTTCACATTTTTGAAAATTTTAATTAACACAACCAAAATTTCTGTTTAACCCCAAAGTTATATTAATGTTTTGAGAGTAAACGGAACACAATTTAGCTAAACAATAAACAGAAATGTTTTATTTCTACTTAATACTATTTAATTTAGATTGAAATTATGTACAAAACTGGTTCAGACTGGTCTTTTCTCACAGGAGTTTGAACTGGTGGGTGGGAGGTGAAAAATGAACACTAAAGGAAGTTGACTTAATGAACCATATCAACCCATTTAACTTTATATATATATATATATATATATATATATATATATATTTTTTTTTATATATTAAATATTTCACCCTGAAATTTTAACCCTCCAGTTTTTGCAGTGTGGTGAATGACCCAGCTGTTATGGGCCTATGGCAGGGTATACTTTGAGTGATTGAGTGAGGGGTGGTCACTCAGAGGAGCGGGGCCATTGGTCAGACTGGCAGCCTCGCAGAAGTAGCCAGGCATGGAGTGTATGTCCATTCTTGACTCACTTGTGGGTCAGTCATAATATGAGGGACTGTAGATTTTTGTCTTATGGTCATTTTCAACTATGATTTCTATATTTTTGTTAAACATGTGACAATACATTTCCCTCTTTACTGTTGGTTGGGATCATTGATCAGAAATTGGGACCACTGGGACATTTCTTGTATAAAACTGGGACAAATCACTGGTTTTGTATAAACCTACAGGGGACACAGAGCTCAAAACTGGGACTGTCCAGGGTAAATAGGGATGCCTGGTCACGCTAAATTAGTTGATATATTGTCAATAATAATAAATCAGGGGTCTCCAACCTGTAGCTCAGAAGCTACCAATAGCTCTCCACCCCTTCTAAAGGATTTCTGAATTACACATATTGTCCCAAATAACTAATTGGATTAATTAAATGCCTATTATCATTGCAAATCTATCATTTTAGTGCCTGTCTTTGTGCACTCATAAAAAAATGGTTTAAGTTTTATGCTTTATCTACCCCATTAAGTCTTGCAACCACTAAAATGGATAGCTCTGTGGAATTTTCATTTTGTAAAAGTAGCTCACCTGAGGATAAATGTTGGAGACTCCTGTAAGAAATAAACGTGGTAGTACCTGTAAAATAGTAATGGTATATGTAATAATATGGTATATAACACTTTGCACTTACATATATATGTATATACCCCGTTGTTTATGATGTGTTTTATTACAATATAGCTTTCGGTTCTCAATAAATAAATGAATAAATAAATAAATAAACAAACAGTGTTGGGGAGTAACAGATTACATGTACCAGAGTTACATAATCAGAGTACAAATTATGAGTAACTGTATTCAGTTACAGTTACTGTTTAAGTGAGTGGTTATTAGATTACAGTTACTTGGTTGAAATAAATGGATTACACAGAGGTATTTTCCTGTTTTCAAAACCAGGTCTAAACCAGGTCTAAAACCAGATCTAAACCAGGACTAAAACCAGGTCTAAACTATGTCTCAAACAGGATTTAACAGGACTAAATCATGCTGTGTGGACATGTCTCCTCTTCTTCTATCAATAATATTTATAATTTGGTTAAGTAAAGTCTGGGCTTTTTTTAATTGTCTTTTGGACAAAACATCTTATGTGAAGATTTCCTCGTCTTTGCTTCTCTACAGCAAACCAAGTAATCCAAAGTATTCAGATTACGTTACTCACTTTAAGTAATTTAATGGATTACGTTACAAACTACATTTGGGGGTATGTAATCTGTAATCTGTAGGGGAATACATTTTAAAAGTCACCTTCCCAACACTGTAAATAATAAATAAATAAATGAAGTAAAGTGAAGTAAGGTAAAATAACATAACGTACAATAAAATAAAAATAACATAACATAAAATACAGTTAAAAATAAGAAAATACAATTAAATACAATACAATACAATAAAAAATTAAAATAATAAATAAATACAAAATTAAAAATAAAACAAATCTTTCTGTTTTCCATAGCCCTTTGTCCCTCGTCAGTCGCCGTAGCGGACGCTCCTCGCTGCAAACATGGCGCTGACAGTTCTCTCCAAACTTTTATCAGGAGCCGTTTACTGATGTCACAGGCACTTTCCGCCCTGACAGCGGCTCACACGGAGTTAGGACTATTTATATCCAAATTCTCCATTGAACCGAGATGGAAAGGAGTCGAAAAGCGTTGTCAAAAATGTAACTTTAGCGTTGTTTCGCGTTGCCCGGGGTTAGCCTGCGGGAGCTAATGCAAACACGGTCAACAAGTGAGCCGCTTAAACCTCTCCAAACTAACTGGGGTTGTGCTGATCGCGCTGGAATTACCTCACATACCCTTCCCGGGAGTTCAGCTTTCATTTGTGCCTTTCTTCGACACTGTTTAGACTTGTAAACAATCTAAAATGTGTCGTTTTCTGCGCTACTGTGTTAGCCACTGTCTGCACGCCGCCATGACCCGGCTGGACGAGGTGAACGGGGAGGTTAGTGTCTGGTCCTCGGTCCGATGGTTGGGTTATTTATCCGGGATCAACCTGCTCATAGCCCTTTTCCTGGGTCTGTACGTGCGCTGGGAGAAGACAGAGGGCTCCACGATACTTGTGATCTTGATTTTGGCGCTGCTCGTTTTGGGAATAGCGAGTATATTGCACTATTTTTTCAACATGGAGAGAGTGAGCTTGAGTTTGCTGCATTTATGGTTTGGATTTTTGCTCGGGCTGCTCTGTTTTATCAATAACCCTGTCACTGTGAGGACTGATGACAAAGAGTTAGCTGCAAACTACATGATGCTGGTCAGTATGGCGCTACGGACTCTATGGGCGCTGTTGGAGAGGCTGTTCGGCCGCACCAGGTATGTTTACTTTACTTATATTACCTGATTAGGGTGACCAAACGGCCATGTTTACCCGGAACTGTCCCAGCTTTGAGACCTGTGATATCTGTTCCAGTAGATTTATACAAAACCAGTGATTTGTCCCAGTTTACACAAGAAATGTCTCAAGTTTTCTTATTTTTGACCAATTTGATTCTCACCAACAGTAAAGAGAGGAATGCATTGTCATTTGTAGCTAAAATATAGAAACCATGCTTGAAAATGACCATTAGACAATAAACACTCCCTCAGATTATGACTGACCCACAACTGAGTGCAGAATGGACACTGTTACGTGCCCTTTTCACAGTTTTATTTATTCCAACTAGTGTTGTAGTTAAGAGCTCACTAATCAAGACCAAGACCAGTTTGAGATCAGTGTCCTGAGACTGAGACAACACCAAGACCTCTGAGGGTCAAGATCCAGACAAAATTGAAACTTTTAAAGCTTAAGACTGAGAAAATGACCAATACCATGTCCCATTGAGACCAAATCGAGACCACCTTTGTCATTTTCTACGTCTATTTGTATTTTACTGTTATTTTGGCACAGCAATGTCTAAAAAAAAAAAAAAAATCTCTGTTTTATCTGATTGATGGTTATTTAGGCCTAAAATAAGCCAAGCAATCTGTACTGCACTGAAACACTCTGTCTTTTTTGGACCCTGACCCACAGTTTGAGAATCCCTTCTTTAAGAGAATTTCCACTGGCACTTTACATAAAAAACGGTAAAAAAAACTGAAGAAAGTGGGTAGGATTTTTAATCCTGTTTTCTTCAAGTTTCTAACTGAAGTTACATTCTCTTACTGGTTTTGCAGTGGGATTTACCTCTGCACATTTACCAAATGCACATCGTGACAAATACAGATGCATTTGTGCACTTTTGTTAGGCAAACTTCAACCACATGTTGCAGTAAGAAGTTTATTGCCAACAGCAGCAGTTCTGATGAAATATGATCGCACTCATTGAGTGTCAGACCTAGAGTCAAGACAAGACTGAGTTCAAACTCTATTGAGTCCGAGACGAGACTCAAGACCAAAAAATTAAATAAATAAAAACTAGTACTATGATACTAATACCAATCATCCCAAACCGTGTGTGTCCCAGTTTTTAATTCTGAAAATCTGGTCACCCTATACATGTTAAGGCTTTTTTATTAAAGGTACACTGTGTGACTTTTGGTGCTGTGATGCTTGTTTCCATGAAGATGCAATGCCTAATGCCTAATGTTTCAAAGTATGGCATTAATCTTATAATTCTGATGAATCTCCATAGAGACAAACAATTGGCAACAATATCAGTCTAAGCTGAAGGTCAGATCTGTGGACCGTAAGAATAACAAGCAGGCAGTGGACCACGTTGAAGTGTGTTAAATAGAAAGGTTATATTTGATGATTTGGTGAAACAGTTTTCAGGAATCAGGAGACCTAGAGAAAGACCAAATAACCTTTGCCATAATGTACTTACTGGACATAAAGTTGTTCAGACTGGAGGATTTCAGTGCATTTTGTTTTAACTTTAATATGATACATTCTTGTTTTCTGGTACTTCATATGTTAACATGGCACACATAGTAAGAGTAAAATGATTATTTATTAATAGTTTTAGTCAGATCTGTCATTCAAGTTAAGTGTTGGTAAGAAATAGAGGTGCAGTGGATGTACGCTTTAACATTGATGATAATGATAATTATCCCCCGAACTGTTGTAAATGTGTAATATACATAAAAACACAAGCTGCAATGAATAGTATGAGTATGAAAGTAATTAGTAGTTTTATATCTATAGTGAGTGGATATTTATTTGACCCTATGCAGTTCAATTGCAACTGAACTTTTTTTTTTTTTTTAAAGCAACATTTCCCACTAGTCCTAAGAAACAATACACATGTAAAAGTGACCCTCAAAAATGATTGAATATTGTATTGAATGTAATTATTGTGACAGGACTATAAGCATGAAAAAAACAGTAGAATGAAATAACAATGTCGTCTGTTCTTTCTTGCAGGTACCGTCCGGCCTTCTTGACCTCTGCAGAGCGTCAGGAGCTGGCTGGCTTCGCTGTGGCCAGTACTGCTCTGCTCATCCAAAAGTCTCTCTCTGTCATGGTGCTGCTGATCTCCCTGGGGACCGTCATGGTTGCTCTGAGAATGAAAGCCCTCCTCTCCCTCCCAAACCTCGTGTCCTTCGCCCTCATCACCGGAGTGGCCTTTTTTAAGTCGTTACATTTGGACATAAACCCTTTTGCTTTGGCCTGTTTCTTCTCTCAGCTGCTCTGTGATCCTCTGCTGGACCTGTACTTCAGTGGACTCTCCGTCACCGAGCGCTGGCAGCCGTTTCTGATCTGGAGAGGCCTGTGGAGGAGGCTGTCGCTGCTGCCTCTCTTGCTGGTAATATTTAGATTTGAATACTGAGAGATGAAAGGTGCACTGTGTAACTGTAACTGTAACTGTGTGTCTTTCTGTTTTATAAGACATCCATGCAGGTTTGAGTTAATTTTTCCATCTCCAGCAGACAACCCTATTTGAACCCTTCTTATGCTTGTGTCTACTATACAGTTATACCATATTTTCCGGGCTATTAGGCGCTCTGGATTATAAGACGCACTATCATTAAATGGTCTATTTTCAAAGTTTTTTCACAAATAAACCACACTGGACTTTAAAGGAAACCCAACAGTGTGATGGGTGAGTGGTTTTGTTTGTTTGTGGCGTTCACGGTGACTCTGGGCTTTGTTCAGTTGTGGCGTGTAGGGAGGGTGCTGTCTGGGACCAACGGATTGTCTGCGTGATCACAGTGACTCTTTTGTTCAGTTGTGTCTAGAAGTGGCACATTGCACTCGCTTTTTCGGTTCGTTCCTCCGTTCCATTCCTCGTCCATGTGGAGTGATGAGTGTGTCTGTGGGTGTGTTTCGCTGTGCGGTCGCTGTTTGCTCCGTGTGTGTTTGTGTGCGCTGCGGGTGGTGTGGCTTTGTAGTTTACTGAAGTCGTGCTGGGACACCCGAGTGGATTCGTGTATAGGGTGCTCTGGAGCCCAGTCGTTTTTTGATGTGGTTGGAGGTTTAAGAGCGTGCCCTATAGCCTGGAAAATACGGTAATCTGTGACCCCCAAGAATCATTGTTATAATTTAGACATTTAAAATTGCAACATTAAAACGACTCAACAAAAGGAACAAGTTCGTTGACTTGCGTATTTTAAAACTGCGGTGCCCAATGGGACCTGACGTCGCCACAAAGGTCATCACAACAAAGAAATGTCCATTATAAGGTCTGCTTCAGTGTAGTTGTATGATTCTGTCCAATGCTCAAACAACAAGCCTACATCAATCAACTGTAAATAACAACTTGACAAACCTGATGTGATGTGCAGTGGTTTCATTGTGCGTGTGGTTTCATGTTCAAGTTTTGATGGTGCTCTGAAGACTTAGCACAGAGAGCAAAGGGAGGGAAGACTGAGATTGCCAAAAATTAAAATAAAACTTATTAAACATTTTAAAATGATGTTTTTGACAAGTATATTTAGACCACCATGTTACCTTTTATTGTTTTTTTTGATTCTTTTGAAAATGCTATATTTTTATTAACACTGTTTAAAGTGTAATATCCTGTAGGGATGTAACAATGGCCGAAATATCGTGAAATCTTATCATCAAAGTTCTCACAATAATATCGTGGACTATCAAAATATATTGAATTACAAGTGTCTCTTTGCTTAAATTAAGAGTTATGGTTTCAGCAATACCTAAAAAAAAGACAGAGAGAACTACATAGACCATGATCCTTTGCTCCATTTCAGTGCAGACTACAAGAAGAAATAACAGTTTTAAACACTTTTAAGTCTCAGTTCTTTGGATTGAGTCTTGTCAAGGCATTTTAAGTGGAAAAAGTAGCATATTAACACTTTTGTTGGCCTCCACAAAATATCATAAAATATCGTACCGTGACGAAGTCGTGTAGTGAGACTTGGATATCGTTACACCCATAATAGCCCATCTTTAAGTCTTGTATGCCTTTCTCTGTGCAGGTGGAAGGGGTGTTCCTGGCTCTCTCATCTCGGAAGCTCCTGCACTTGGACACGTGGTACCTCCTGGTCCCCGGCTTCATCGCGGCCTCTCTGTTCTGGAGCATCTGTCACCTGGTTTTCGTGGTCACCGTTTGGGGCTTTCACACCAAACTCAGCGACTGTCAGAGGGTCAGCTGGTCCCAAGGGCCTGGCCTCAGTGGACTAGACAAGATCATGGCCTCCAAAGGAATGAGACACTACTGCCTCATCTCAGAGCGCCTCCTGCTGTTCACACTGGGCTCTACGATCGCTGTGGGGGCTCTGTGCTGGCAGGTCAGACTAGTAACTTAAAGATATAATCATCAACACTTTTCACATCAAGTATCACCTTCTGAAAATATACTTTTAATTCAATGACAACCGTGGGTCGTAATTGTTTATTTAAAATGCAATGTTCATCTAACACAACTAAAACAACTTAAAATGAACAGGTCCAATTACAAAACTGTGTTCAAGACTGCTGCTCTGTTTTCCATTAGCTCTGTTTTCATCAGAGCAAATGTCACATCACTAGGAACAATTCATTCATAAGAACAGTATACTTTTTCATTTGTGTTAAAATGTCTATGCTGCTGAATCCTACATGTATCACTGTTACGGTTAGAGAGCAGTGGGCATGTACGGGGTATGAGGGAAAACACGATTTTTTAGCAGTGGTGTCTATAATGCATACTTTTAAAATAATAAATCAGCACTTGTGAGTCCAAAGCTGTGAAGCGCATAGTTCCATTCGGTTTCTCCTTGTTCCCTCAGAGCTCGAGCAGTCTGTTCCTCAGTGTGTTCCTCCTGGTTCTGCCGTTGGAGTCTCTGTTTCATGGACTCTTTTCTGAACTGGGCCGCAGCCTCGGAGGGACCTGTGTGGGCTACGCCGTGGTCATCCCCACCAACTACTGCAGGTAACACAGGACACACCACTCTTCTGTGATGTGTTGAACATGAATCAAACTCAGGCTCATTTTGAACTCAAGATTAAAGTAAATCAAGAAAAATATGCTTGTAAAGGACAGAAGCAGAACATAAGTCATCCTTACACCTTAAGTAAACTAAGTGATGAAAGAATGTCTCTGGCCTAACCAAAGCTGGCAGTAAGCATGAAACAATATTGACATTTTGAGTGATCTCATGGTCAATATAATTGCTCTTTAAAATATAATAATAATAATAATAATAATAATAATAATAATAATAATAATGTTAAAAGGGTTGCATATCGTATCTCTGGTTAGCAGCACACACATGTATTTTGTCAGAAAGCTGCAATTTATCAGCTTTCAACTAAAATGCCCAAAAAAAAAGATAAGTAACAGTTGAGAATAGGGGTGTGCAAAAATACTGAAATTTCTATATATCATATAATTGAATGTGATGATACAGTATTAATATCGTGGGCTGCTGTATCGATATATCGCCAAGAGTATTTTTTGGTAAATTTGACAAAATTATTTTGTTGCAGTGCTACAGTTTTGTTGCTTGTTCAGAGGAAGGAAAATTGTTTATGCAACACATTTGACATTTTCATTGTTTTGATGATTAAAATCAGATTTTTATTTATTTTTTTATATTAACTTTGCACAGGAAACAGTTTAACAAAGACTTTTGGTATCACAGCCATGATTTAGCCTTTCTTTTTTATTGAACCATATCGAATCGATTTGAAATATATGGTATCATATCAAAAGTGCACTGTATCGAGGTGTGTATCATATCATGGCCGATGTCGAGATATGTATCGTATCAGCAACTTCTTAATGATACCCAGCCCTAGTTGAGAATACTATAAATGGCATGTGCTCTGTTTCTTAGCAAAAAAGTTGATTTATTATTTAAAACCACTTCCCTCTCTTCATCTCTCCTCCCTCTCTTCATCTCCCCTGCCTCTCCTCAGTCCTGATGGCCAGCCCACTCTGCTGCCTCCAGACGCGGTGCAGGAATTGAACCTTCGCTCCACGGCGATGCTGAGCAGTGTCCAGAGATTCTTTGCTCATCACCTCATCGAGTCGTTTGGCTGTGACTATTCCACCAGCGGAGTGACTCTGGAGGCCCTGCAGGCCAAAGTCCGCTCCTTTTTAGACCTGAGGACGTCAGACGGACCCAGGCACGATACCTACATCATCTACTACAGCGGACACACACACCGCTCCGGAGAGTGGGCTTTGTCTGGTAAAGAAACTACTCCTTAAAATGGACTCACTATCACACAATCCATGGGTTACCAAAACAGTAATTAGGAGTGCTGCCATAGTAATTAACAATGTAAAACACAATATTAGATCTTTTGTATGGGGAAAAAATCCTCAAAATGCTGCATGTAACGGGAAACTGAAATCCATGAATAGTTTGTGTTCACATTCTTGACTGTGATGGTGAGGGCCTAAGTCACTTTATGGGAGAGTGACTGTTTTAGAAAGAAATACCCAAACTTATGATCTACACGAGTCTTATCATTATTCAGTAGGATCTGACTCCACTTTATGAAGAAAGAAGAACTTCACTTTTGTTTGTTGCATTTCATGAAAGTGTTTGTTTCATGAGCGTTTCATAATTTTTTTTTACTTGGTTAATTGTTAATCTGACAGACCAGAGCCAAATGTGGCTGCACACTGAAGAAACTGTTGGTGGAAAGTTATGAAGTTATTTACACAGACATGTTTAACTGACTTGTGACTGTAAGCAGCACATTTAAGCAAAATTGGAAAATGAGAAAAGTTGTTATCAAATTTCACACTGTAAATAAAAAATGGAATGATTAAACTTTCAAATAATTTCTTGTGATATGTTTGTTACAGGTGGAGACACTCTGCGCCTGGAGCAGCTGGTGGACTGGTGGAGGGAGAAGAATGGAGGTTTCTGCTCTCGTCTGATCCTGGTCTTGGATTGTGAAGACTCGAGGCCCTGGGTCAGAGAGGTGCAGAGAGTGGACGGGGTGTATGTGGCTGTACAGGGCGCCACTCTGGCCAAAACACCAGGGCTCTCAACACAAAACACACAGGTGGGTGGGACAAGCAAAATGTGGATGTCAAGTCAAATCGGAAAATAAATCTAAAATAATGAGCAAATCTTCTAAAAGAAATACATAGCTGACATGCTTTGAATGTGGCTTTCTTTGGTTATATTAAACCAAACCAGTTTTATACTTTTTACATCAGATGTCCTTCCTCTGTAGTGTGAGTAAGATGTAAGCACCACCACAGTAATTAGTAAGTTAGTATAAAAATCGTCTTGTGTGTGCTAAAATATTACATTATCATTTTATATGAGCATACTAAATCCTTATCATAATTTTGGGCTATATCGATATTTTTGACAAAATGATTTTATGACAGTGCTACAACTTAGCAAATTGTCCATACAATACATTTGACATATTCAATATTTTCATCATCAAAATGGGCTTATTTAATATTACATTTGTGCAGATAGTGATACAAAGACATTTTATTCTTAAAAAAAAAAATCATGTGCAGTTAGGGATGTAACAATAACTGAAATATCGTGATATTGTACTGTCAAAAGTCTTGCAATAATACCATGGGCTGTCACAATATATCGAATTACAAAATCCTTTGTGAGAAGAATCCCTCAGTCGTCCAGGTAGAATTCATGGCGAGGAGAAAATTCAGTTTGTCGACTGGACAAAAGTTGGTTGAAGACGTTTCGCAGCTCATCCAAGCTCATCCATCTCATTCTTCAGTTCTGGTCAGACACCATCTTTCTCCTATTTACAACTCCATCCTCAAAGCTAATTCAAAACAAACAAGAGAACAAAGGGTGTAGCCAGGTCAGGTCCAGAGGTGAGGGAGCACCTGTTATGGCCCTGATTTGTTCTGCTAATTAGACCCCACACCCTGTACAGGTCAATAGGCCTAACTAACAAACAGAAACTGTAAACAAGTAGGTGTGTTAGTTTCAGTTAGTTAGCTCCTCCCTGCAGATATAAGGAAGTGTTCACCAGCGTCTGACCAGAATGTGTTGAAGAATTGTGATATTATCGTATCATGACCCATGTATTGTATTGAATCGTGAGTGACTCTGTGAAGCCCAGGCCTAATATAAACACTTTGACACCTTTTATAATTTACTTTTCAGCATTATAATGAACATTTAGGAGTAAATACTCATTTCTCCATCTCTGTTTGAACAGGACGTCCCGCAGCTTGGCGACTTCACCTCTCAATGGGTCGAATACAACTGCAACCCCCACAGTGATATCCGGTGGTCAGAGCGGGGAAGGGCCGTCAGCGCCATCTACGGTCTGTCCAAACAGTGGGGCGACTATACTTTACATTTGCCCACCGATACTGACGTCACCAACCACTGGGGGGTGTACTTTCCCCGCGTCACGTACCCCGTGGTGCAGTTGGCGCTGTGGTGTAGCCGACTGGACGTTTTGTGGCTGTGTGGAGTTTGTCTAAGATGTTTAAAAAGGTTCAAACTTACATGGTTTCCTCCTGCCATCCTCGATACAGGTCAAGGTTTCAAACTAGTGCGGACGTAGGACGAGAGAAGAGAAATAATCCTCCACAGTCCCTTCCCAGAATGTTGGCACTTTTGGTAAATTTGAGGGGTTGCAGGTTACTTGATGTGTGGTTTTGGAGATTGATTGACTCCAGTATGTTCCTCGCCCTCACAAACCTTTGTTCTAATTTGTCTCAGGTGCCAACATGAGTGGAGGTTATTCAAAGATTTTGGACCCAGTAAATATGGGCAGCTACTGTAATGTAACACATTTATTAAAGGATGGGTTCACACTAGAGTAAAAAGTGTGTGGTTTGTAATACTTTTTGTAGCCAAGTCTGAGCAGGAAAATCCCTGTTTAAGGGACTGTGATGAACACTAGTATGAAGACAGCTGCAAAAGATTAGATAAGTTCAAAATGTCTTTTTTTTTAGCATATTTTATTTATTTAGAAGTAATCTTTAATGTCTGTGAATCAAACTTAGGCTTAGATGCCGTTTTTTCCGCACTATAGGGTGCTCTGGATTATAAGGCACACTGTCATTGAATGGTCTATTTTCAAACTTTTTTCATATATAAACAGCACCGGACTATAAGGCGCATTAAACGAAACACAACAGTTAGATAAGTCAGTCAAACTTTATTTAACGCGTTCACAATAACTCTCAACTTTGTTCAATTGTAACGTCTAAAAAAAATATTGTCTGAGACGCTAAATTGTTCGTGTATTCACAATAAGTCATAATAGTTCAAACAGTTGGGCGATTACAGCGTCCAGCACGTCCACATCCCTCTGTCATTATCCGAGTCAGTGTGGTTACTGTTCCCTGGAGTTCAGTTCAGTGATGATTCTGGTCTTGGTGAAAGCTCGGACCACAGTTGATACTGATCCTTAGTCCAGGCGTCCACGATCCGTTGGCAGATCGTGGTGTAAGTCGCTTGGTGCTGTCTCTCTGTCTTGGTGAATGTGTGTTCTCCTTCTCTCATCCACTGCTCCCACGCAGTTCACACTTTCACTTTATAACAGCCTTGAGTTTAAAGTGGGCGTTGTAAGTGTGTCTCTTGACAGGTGCATTTTGATATTGTGTATTACTCCTGACTACGGGAGCCGTAATGCTGCAAGTGGAGCGGCTTTGTAGTTTACTAAAGTCATACTAAGACACCCCAATAAATTCATATATAAGGCGCTCTGTTGTTTTTGGATGAAATTAAAGGCTTTTAAGTGTGCCCTATAGTGCAGAAAACACGGAAGTCTAGTGTATTATGTTTTTTTTTTTTTTTTTACTAAACAAAATGATATGAATCCACTTTTGTCCAGTGTGAACCCAAACTTGGTTGAGTTACTGATTTTGCTTTTTTACAGATTTGTATTTTAATTTAATTTTATTGATAAACCATAACATATTTGCATGAGGGCAATAGAAAGCACATTGAGAACATTTGCACATGTAACTGTATTTTGTGTAAATCTGTGCCTTAAATATCCAAAGACCAATGTGAATCCAGTAAGTTCACAAAACTAAATGACAATCATAAACTAATATTGTAATACTCCTGCTTTACACTATGCATTTTGATACATTTACCAAATCTTTTCTAGTAAAGTCTCTTCATTTTGACATATTTTTCACCACTCCAGCTGCTTAAGACTCCAAAGAATACATGTGACTTTTTTATGCTTTGCACAAGATGAGATGTGATAACTTAAACTGGTCTATGCAAGTCTTGCCTGTTTTTTTTATATATATATACTTAAGCAAAATAAAGCGGCTATGCAATAAAGCAGTGCTCACAACCGTTTCTGCTTCTTCTTTCTCCAAAAAACTGGGTAAAGTGTCTTGCCTGAGGACACAAAAACAGTATGCAGTGGGCTTAAATGGCTTCAAACTGTCACTAATAATGAGGAAGTTGGCATCGCTTATGTTTTTGTAGAAGCACCACTGACACCCAAATCTTACTTTTTGCATAATTTTATTGAAAACCTTTATAAAATTGTATAATACAGCAGCAGGTTTTGTTTTGGTTGTTCTACATGTTTTTACATTTACACAACATGGCTTTTTTTCATAGACTTACCAAAGACCAACAAACATGGACTGCCCTCTAGTGCTGCATCTATGAACCACAACAAGCCCATTCACAAAAAACTAAAACTCTATTGTCTCAACTTTTACAACAGCAAATCAAATTTTTGCAAACAAGATTATCAGAATGAAATAAACGTTAATTTCTATATAGATTCTCATGATGCCAGCTCTTATTTTTTTTAATAAAGATCAAAATATACAAATGAATTAGCAAAAATACAGCTAAATAATACAAAAATACTGAAACTTCACATGGCAGTAGTCTAGGTTACAATATATTGCAAGAACATTGTATTTATTAGTTTGTGTTTACATACAAATCCATGGCATAATGAGCTCAAATGTATCAGTCATTTAAATATTAAGTAGACTGCTAAACATCTATTGAAATCGTTCTGAATTTCCAAATAATTTAACTGTTAATATGATCATTTGAAACAAAATTGAATTCATTTGCATCACTCCATGGACACACGACTTAGCTTGAAATGTCCAAATGGATTTAAAGGTCCACTCTGTAACTTTTCTGATAGTTCCCAATCCGTGTCTCATTCCTTTATTCGTTTTTCAATATAAAACCATAAATAAGAAAATGGAAAAAAACAGCTATTTTCTTCATTATTTGTCTCTAAATACAAAATGAAAAAAGCAGATAACGATTTGTTTTTTTCATTTTTCGATTTTGTGTTTAAATAACGGAAAAAACGGATAACAGCAGTTTCCCGTTTCCGTGACTACGATGCCGGACTGAACCAGGATTAACCAGGACTAAAACAGGTCTAAAAAAGCTTTAAACTGGGTCTCAGTCTTAGTCTCAGCCCTGGTCTGCTGATCAGGTAACCGGGACCAGGACTGAGACCTGGTTTAGTCCTGGTTCTATTCTGGTTTAGTCAAAAGAAACAAAACGCAAATGCAAAGAGCAGCCAGACAAAAGTGAAAAAATGTGTGAAAACACACTCAGATGGCCGATGTCCAAAAGCTTATTTATTTTCAAAATAACGTTTCGGCAAAAAAAGGACATCGGCCATCTGAGTGTGCTATGTATTTTTTCACTTTTGTTAGAGCTGGTTTAGTCCTGTTTTAGTCCCATTTTAGTCCCGTTTTAGTCCCGTTTTAGTTCCGTTTTAGTCCCGTTTTAGTCCCGTTTTAGTCCCGTTTTAGTCCCGTTTTAGTCCTGGTTCAGTCCATATGCGGCATCACAGTTTAAGTCACATAAATGGGAAATCTGTTTTTTCCATTATTTATTTAAACACAAAATCAAAAAAATGAAAAAAAAAAAAAAAACAACAACTACTAATCGTTATCCATTTTTTCATTTTGTTTTTGGACACAAATAATGAAAAAAATGTAGTTTTTTCATTTTCTTATTTTTGGTTTTCTATTGAAAAAAGAATGAAGGAATGATACATGGATTGTTCCCACATAGATGTTATTGCTTTTCCTGTAATGGTTTGTTACATTATGGCATTAAACGTATGCAGCAGCAGCAGCAGCAGCTCACAGTAACAGCGTTTTAAGGAAACATCTCAAATTGAATGAAAGCGCAATAGCCTCATTTAATGCCATATTAGGAAACGTCGCAGCCAATGCAATGACATCACCATGGAAGAAAAGCTTTGACAGACCAGTTCCATGGTGCACTTTTAACAAATGTTTGGCATTTTTAGTTGTTCGGGTCTAGACCTCTCCGGAATTATGGCTTTTAAGCAAAAATAGGCAAAGCTTTTGGCTCAGCTGCAAATAAAAGAAAACAACTGATTAATAACATCTTAGTAATAGCTCTCTGCATTTTATGATTGTCTAATTGTTGCACATTTCTTCAGAAAACTGTATATCCTATTTCTTGGGTACTAAATCAGTCTTAAATATGAAGGAAAAACTTTAACCAATAACCACCCAAACTAGATACCCCATTTATTTTACATAGATCTATACTCACGATTTGAAAACCTACAATATGTTACAACCTTTCGCATTTTTGTTTAAATTTGTTTAGTTTTTTTTGTTTTTTTACACAAGTCCAACGTGCTGTGGGTTCTCAAACAGCAAGTAGGAAAACCACTGCGTTGAAAGAAATATTCTAAAATGAAATGAGATCTGGCAAGTCATTACAGGCCTAGTTTTGGTCCTGGTCTAGCTCAGGTCGTAACTGAAAATAACCTAAATCAGATCAGTCAATCGTAACTTATCAAAATGATCTCAGCCCCTCATCTTCTCATCTGTACTTCAGTTTAGATATACATTAACAAGTATATTTTTAGTATGTTGTTTTTTTTTTTTATATATATATATAGTGTCGTTGCAAAGACCCATTTTTCAAGTTTAGGGACCATATTCAGTGCATTCATGAAACACAAACCGTTCAAATTACACAACCATCCACCAGAACTACTATATAACTGTTCAATTCCATTTAATTTCCGCATTAAGATCCAAATTCCCTTCTAGCCTTTAAATCTTTTGGTAAATTTCTGATTTAAATTTCACAGTTCTGGTTGTGCAAAAATAAAACATTGTCTATGGAGCCTAGAGAAAGTAAAAATGTGGAAATGTGCATATGTTCTTGTTCAGTTTTAGCTTAACCAAATAATTACCTTTAACCCACAAAGCATATTTAAAAGACTATGAGGTAATTTGCTGTGGCGCTACTGAGAACTGCGCAGATCAGCCAAAATATTACGACTCTCTCTCCAAAAGGCAAACCCATTATTATGTTACTTTTCTGGTTCTTGCTTTGCCTGTGTTCAGCATCACCAGACCAAAAATCAATATCTTCTGAACACTAATTTCCATATATTGTCATAATGTTTTGGCTGATCTTCTACTCATCTCTTTGCAGTCTCAGTTGTCGTCCACTGTGCATTTAGTGTCCATACATCCATCGTTACTGTCATACACGTCACTATGAGTTTAGCCATAGTCCCTTTGGTCCTGGTTCAGTCCCGGTTCAGCCCCAGATCTGGTCTCGGGCCCGGTCTGAGGACTGGTTTTCAGGACTTTCTTTGCCTGACCCCAGTGTCCGAGCTGCCGTTGAGTTTGCTGCGTCCCGTGGGGGTGGAGCCGTTGCCGAGTGGCGGTGGCGCTTCCTGTTTACGTTTACGCGTCTCTTTGTATCGAAGGGTGATGTCGCTGCGGAGACAAGAGAGGAGGACTGTAAAACTTTGTACAAAAGAGATGAATGACATCATTTCCTAAATCACTCTTGGTGATATCAAATGGTTTTTCTCAGATATTTGTATCAGTTTAGCCGATATTTGGCATCAATTTTTTCTCCAATTCCTAAACTATCCCAGTCTTACAGATGAAGCTGGGTTACCAGTACCTCGACCAGCAAACTGAGGACCTTTTACTTACTCTCCGAACAGACCATGCCTCAGTGTCACTAATTTAATATTTATTGTTTAGATCAGGGGTCACCAAACTTTTTTCTCTGGGGGCCACATTCGCTCCTGAAGTGATGGGGGCCAGGGTTGGCCATCTAACAGAACTGTGTGATCCTGACGATGCAGATTATATTCTTTAAAACTCCCCACACTTTCTTTACATATCAGACAAACTGCACGCTCTTTACACTGAACAAAAGAATAATCAGTTGTCCAATGTTCTCTGAGAACTCAGTACTCTCTGTATAGTTTTTGTACTTTAACACTTGACATTTTGCTGTCCTTAACTGCACTACAGAACTCTGCACATGCATTGACTGTCACTGTTTGATCTGTGACGAAAATTTGGCGGCAAATGTAAACACGTCTTATAATTATTTAAATATAAATACTTCATATAAATATTTTAATTGAAAAAAATCTAAATACAGGATGCAGACGTGTTATTATTAGCCAAAAAATCATTTTAAAAAATAGACCATGACAACTTCTGAGGATTGCCTCATGGACCAGTTCAAGTGTTGGGGGCAGAGGGGGTGGGGGGCCGGTCAAAGGGGCGTGGAGGGACTGGAGTCGGCCCGCAGACCTTAGTTTGATGACCCCTGGTTTAGATTTAGGCCATGTAATTTTTTTTTTCTGGTTTCTTTTGAAGCATCTTGCAACCTAAAGTGTAGAGCTAATTTTGCTTTATGATTAGATTGGCATGTACATCTATAGCTCTGAAAAAAATAAGAGACCACTCTATTTTTTGTCTGAAATGGTGAAGTGCACAGCAAGAACAGTTCAAAACAGGCTCCTAGGGGCAGGGCTCAAGTCGTGTAAAGCTAGAAAAAACGCTTTCATCAATGAGAAGCAAAGAAGAGCCAGGCTGAGGTCTGCAAAAAACCATAAGGATTGGACCATCGAGGACTGGAGTAAAGTCATGTTCATCTTGGTGGAAAACATGCCAAGATGCATAAAAGCTGTTTGTTATTTTGACCATTTGTAATTTTCTGCAAATAAATGCTCTAAATTACAATTATTTTATTTGGAATTTGGGAGAAATGTTGTCAGTAGTTTATAAAATGATTTTACTCAAACATACCTATAAGTAGTAAAATCAGAGAAACTGATAGTTTTGTAGTGGTCTCTTATTTTTTTGTCCAGAGCTGTATATCTATAATACCCATACATATAATCTATAATGTATCTATAAAGTATCTATAAAGTACATGCTCTCTATGTGTTACTCAAGCTTAAGATCATCTAGATGTTTTTGTTGCTTGTTCAAGTCTTGGCCAATGCTACTGCACCAGGCAGAAGGAACTGAAATCATTTAATTTCCTTATTTGGATAAACAAAGACAGTTTTGTTCTTAATCCGTGAAAATGTGGAGCCTCTGAGCTGTTCATGTGACAGAGGCTTGCTACACAGATGTGGTTTTGTTCACTTTACAAATGTAATAAGTGCTCCATCTGAACAACAAACCCTCAAATCCCCTCTCCTCCTCTCACACAGGAAAGATACACTGAGCATTACAGCAACAGAAGAGAAAGAACTTTACTCATTTAGCGAAAAAGGCCAAATAGTTAAACAATATACAATATGAAAATATGAAATGTTTTCCTTGTGTAAATTGTCGCTGCATTTTGGATGGACTTTTGATGCTTCATTTTTAGAACTTGGCACTACTTCCTGAGAATTCATTTTTTCAACTTTCTTTCACAAACTGACACTTGACTGACATAAAACTGATAAATATTAACCACAGTTACAGTTGTTTAAAAGAAATTCATGATTATAAAAGCATGATATGTGTCCTTCCTCAATCAGCATTTCCACACATAACAGTACCAAGTCTGAGGAACCAGCCAGTGTTTCCTCGTGTTCACACAGAGACAACAGGATTGAAAGTGAGTCTTAGGTAAATATTTAATTTAGTACTTCTACTGAGCAGTGTGTATAAACTATAAAACTGATTCACAAAACCCTTGAACAACTGAACAGTTATGTACACTTATTCAGAATGGAACGATTAGTTATTTAATTAAGAAATGTTTTACCAAAATGTCTAACTGGAAAGTACACAGCCCCAGAGTTAGGAGCTAAAAAGTGTGACGTACGCCAATGTTAAAAAGTTTTAGAACACCCAAATTTTTCCAGTTATTTATTGCGATTCAACTCGTGCAAGTCCAATGAACAGCTTGAAATGGTACAAAGTTAAGAACTGAACAGACAGAGGTTAAAAAAAGATAAAAGATACAAAACAAAAGTCCAAGCTCTGCCAAAACGACCTCAGGAGAACAGAACAAGATGGTAAAGTTAGAAAACCTGGAGTGTGCAGCAGCAGCACAGTGTCCAGACTTAAACTCCATGGAGCTGGTTTGGGATGAACTGGACAGAAGAGTGAAGCAACCTACAAGTGCCACACATTTATGGAAACTTCTGCAACAGACTTGAGAAGAACTTTCTGAACGATATTTGATTTCTGTTGTAAAAAGAACGAGCCACGAGTGTGTTCGGCTGTTCTATCTGCCACACACATCAATCAAAAATTTAGAATATGTTTTGGTTAAACAGTACAAAAAAAAAAGGTGGTGGTGTTCTAAAACTTTTGACTGGTAGTATACATCGAGAGGGGAGAGGTTAAAAAAAGAAGTACTAGGAATTGAAAAAGGTTCCTACACTGTGTCTGTTCTCACCGTATGAAGAATCGCCAGAGTGTCCAGGAAACGATGAGGCAGAAGCCCAGGATCCAGCAGTGGATGATGGACAGGGGGATGGGGAGCATCAGGGTGTGGGGGTCGTACTTCACCACGATCAGGAACTCTGTGACTGTGATGGCCGCTACGATCCACGCCTGCTGACCCAACTTCTTGTGGAACTTACTGAGAAGAGGAGAGAAAAACAAGACCTTTAACATGTACGCCTGTGCTCCTTAAGTTGTTTAGTAAATAAGCAGATGATGATCAAATGCTTTATTAGTGAGTAATTATTTTATTATTATAAGGAGTTAATGGACAACAGAAAAAATAAAATGGAGAAAATGTATGGAGTGAGTTAGCTGGAGTTTTAGGAGTGACTGAAGAGTTCATGTGCTTATAAAGATGTACGTCTCTGTATATTTAATAGTTTTTAGGGGAGACTAATTATTACTGTAGACCAGGAGTGTCAAACATATGGCCCGGGGGCTGGATCCGGCCCTCCAAGACCTTTAATCTGGACCTCGGCTGATTTTCTACTAAAATATTTGAATTATATTTTCTATTAAAATCATGTAAATTTTCTGTGGTGTTTATCACAGCAGCGTCTCCAGCGTCTCTGTACGTGGCCCCTCCCACCAGAGCAGCACAAATGAAGACTTGTCTCTTTCCAAACGCTCTTAAAGGACGATCGTTTTGACTGTTGACCGTGACCCTCATCAGAAAAATGTCACAAATGAGAAAAGTGGAGCCGAGTGCAGGATTTTCCAAGAAAAATTTACTTATTCCTATTTACATACAAGTTCATGTTAAAACATTGTGTTGAAATTGCATTTTTCTTAAAGTTTCAGGTTGTTCATAATATTATAATATTTTGTAAAAGAAAGAGTTCATCAATTAAAAAAGATTTCTGCAATAGATTTGTGTTTCTCTGCACAAATATTTGAAATTATTGCTATTTTTGGGGTTTATATGACATGATCTCTGGCTCCTTTGGGATCAAAGTAGGTTGGATATGGCCCCCGGACCAAAATGAGTTTGACACCCCTGCTGTAGACCATACAATTTTAATGTTGCCTATTTTGTTAATTTGTTCATTAGCTTTAATTGAAATGCACTAATATTGCAGTGGTGTCCTGAAATGCACTTTTCACTTCCTTAGTAAAATATAAATGTAAAATGTCAATCATTATAGTTCTTACGTTTATGTAATGATGTAACCGAGTCTATATTTACAACATGCATAGAAGGTTGAACATCCTAACTGGCAGACATACTGAACTCTTCGACTGGCATGGTATACATCAATACTGATATTTTGTTGATGTACTGTCCATCCATACTTTTATATATCAGATTTGAGTCTATAGTTGCAGCAGTGTGTAAATACAAACTCACGGGTGGTCCATGAAGTCATAGATCTCCCTCATGGCCACTCCCCCCACATTGACAAAGAACACGAGCCTGAGCAGCACCAGGTAATGCTCCGGAGGCATCCACAGAACAAACTTCAGGTAAAACGTGTTCAACTCTGCCAACAGGAACTGCACAAACACAAGAGAGGACACAGAGGGGGGTAAGTAATCATTACACAACAACAGTGTGTGTTATGCAGTTTTAGAGCTGGAGAACGTCATGGTGTTCCTTCATGAAGTTGTGGACTGTGGTGGCTTTAGTAATGGTTTTGTTACATGAACAGACTTTCCAAAACAAAATCAGTTTACCTCCAGCAGCAGGTTAAGAGGATTACACCATTAAGAGCTAATCCCAGAGAGGTGATGTGTGGGCGATGACAGAATTACAGTCCTGTTACATGTACGGCTGAATGCACTGGGAAAAATATCGAACTGTGATTTTTATGACAAGCATCGCCATTACGATTAAGTAATTAGGGATGTAACAGTAACTGAAATATTGTGATATCGTCAAAAGTCTCACAATAATATCATGGACTGTCACAATATATCAAATTACAAATTTTGGTTGCTTAAATACCTTGTTTTATAGAAGCAACAGCTTATGAACATCAGAAACTACATATCCCATGATTCATTTCAGTGCAGACAACATGAAGAAATATGTTTTTGACTTGAATTCTTGGGATTTGACTGAAATAATTCACACCAAAATCTTGTCAATGTATTTTAAAAGCAAAAAAAATTAAGTGTCCTATCTACAATTCTATCAGCCTCTCCAAAATAAATATCGTACCGTGAGATGCATGCATGATAATAAGATTTGGATATCGTTACATCCCTGTTAGTAATCATTTCAGAACATGTTTGTATAGATCTTGACTACAGAGTTAGATGTTTTTATGCTGAATCAGACAGGATATTTTGTGGGTTGTGGAGGAAATGATGGTAGTTCAAAAATAGCAGCCTTAGTGATTTGGTAATTGCAAATATCAAATGTGCTTAAACATGTGAGTAAATGTATCAGTAAATGTCAAGGTTGGTGATGTCCAAGTATTGCACATAAGTGAATGGATTGTTAATTTACAAATTAACTTTTTATTTTTTTTAAATCCACATTTTTTTGTCAATTGTCTTTTAAAAAGGTCACAGATTATTGGTGAGAATTTAGTTGGAAAATCATAATTTGTTTTTTTTTATAACTCCAACAAATGAGTTGGAACCCGAACAGCTCTGCATGTTGGAGGCTTGTGGAGATAATGAGGCTCACCACTCTCACATATTTTAGTCTTGTGTGAAACTGAATACATTTTGGACACATGTTGGATCAAAAATTGGACAAATAACTGGTTTCACTATAACTGAAAATGTTAACACTATACATGGGTGATATGCCTGATTTACAACACTATACATTAAACAACACTAAACAACATATACAACACTAAACACTATACATGGAGGATATACCTGATCTACCTAATAATGTCAGATATTTATTCAAAATCCCCTGTTCCTGTGCAAAAAAGGCAATTACAAATTGCCTAAATGGCTTCAATCAGATCCACCTGTGTTAGAAGACTGGTTAAAAATAATTGAAGAAACTCATAAAATGGAACGTCTGACAACGGCTTCACGCTGATGTTTATTATTCAAGATGGGCTAAATGGTCTAAATATTGCAGTGAAGTTTAGTTAATAGTTAGCGCTGCTCCAGCTATGTACCTATAAAACAAAACACTCCAGGGTAACATGTATGAGTGATGTGTGTATTAGGGATGGGCATGATTAATTGATTAATCGATAATTGATCATTAAGAATTTCATTGATTACATTAATTTTAATCGACAAACCGAATGCAGGTTGCTGTGCGTAGCGTGACCAAACAGGTCTGTACATGTGTCTCTCTGCACAGTCAGTCTGCAATGTACCGAAGCACAAATGTGTATTTAACAATGACGTGTACAAAAAATTCCAGGCTTTCTGTTGCGTTCAGGACAAGTGTGAGTCCATGTGCACAGTGTATAAAGCAGCACATATGTTTTGGAGTACAGAGGGAAAAAGTTTTACCAGGTGAGAGTCACGCAATGTCAATGACGAATCCCCACCTCCCTCCCCCCGTACGCTGTCCTGGTTTTGACAAACGCAAATCTGGTCACACTAACCTGTATTCCACTGAGTCATGTCTTTTAATCCAACAGAAATTGAACCGCATCAGCGACACAAGAGCTGTAGTTTTATCTTCGCTGAGTTTATGCAAATTATCGATGTGGTTTTAAGTTTTGTTTCTGGGAGAGTTGCACAAAACTGAATTAAACACATTATAATGTCAAACGGCTGATGTGGCTCTAGAGTGGTTACGGTTTATATGTCGTAAAGTTGAATTTATTTATGCAGATTAGTAGTGCAGATAGTAATAATAATGATGATCATTTTAATATAAAAACTTTAATGATTAATCAATAATCGATCGTTAATTCTTCCGACGATCGATTAAGAAAATTTCATCGAATGCCCATCCCTAGTGTGTACGTATGTATATATGGGTGTGTATATATATATATGTGTGTGTGCATATATATATATATGTATTACATATGTATTTTTTCCACTTAAATGTATGTTAAATTCCTTGCTGACTGTGCATTGTATAAACTGTATTGTTATTGAATAAAAATTAAGTGACAAAAAAATAAAAGGGCCCTTATTATGCTTTTTTTCAATTTGTTATGTTGTTGTTTCCTACAGTTGTGTTTTGTTTCATTCACACATGTTTAACCCACAGTTCTTCTCAAACAGAAAACACTGGGAAGTGCTCCACTGTGTTTTTAAACTCCATACACCTTCTAGAATCATCTGAATGAATTGAGTCGTAGAATTTCCAATACTCCTCTACTAAATAAAAGGTGAAAGGAGCAGTTAACTTGAAAACAACAGCTTCATGACATCACAAGGTGGGCTAGGACTTGAGATATGCAGACTAATAGGTGAGTTTCATTGTTGACAAAAGCGTGCGTTGCATGCTGGGAATTATTTTGGTCGGCAGCAAGAAACACTAATTCAACATGACGGACGGAGCGAGAAAGCACGTAAAGGGTATTGATCCCGGTTATTTATCCACTCTAACGGCAGAGGACCCAAGACCATTTGACCAGAAATTGGTCATAAGCATCGATGGAGCCAAATCACCCTTTTCAACCCCGACAAAAGGTGGACCAAACCGAATTTCTGGTCAGAATCTCCAACTACCTGGACAAATATTCACATTGGCGATATCCACAATGACTTGGTGGAAACTCCTGGGCCATTCACAGCAGAAAAGATGAAAACCTCCAAGAGTCTCAATGTGTTGTTGAACTTGGAGTCCACGGTTTGTTAGGATCTTCTACGTTTGCTCTGGGAATGTTTGAAAGTCGTTTAATTCACCGTTAGCGGTTCTTTTCACTTGGAATATGAAAACGACATTTTCCTTCTTCCGTGCTTCTATTTGTGCATCCGATAATGCAGCAGGAATTTACCATTATCGGGGATAAATAGGCGAGGTTACGTACTGTGTTTGACCGCTATCCTGTTTCTTGCCTCCAATCAAAATATTTCCCAGCATGCAACGCGGTCTTTTAATAACAATGACGTCAGCTGAAACTCGCCTATAAAGAGGTACTCAAACAAGTGTGAATGAAACAACAAAACTCAAGGTCTGTTTCTGAGCTAACAAAATTCTAACATGACTTAAAGCTCTCAAGAGTCAGTTTTGTGTAATATAGGACCTTTAAAGGTGCACTATGTAACTTTCAGGTGGAGGGTCAGCATCGTCTCCTTGGAGATGTCCTTTCTTTGCTTGGTTTGTTCCACATTAAACTCAAAACACCCTCACCCCCTCATAAAATTAACTACTACTTTATTTTTTCAGTGTTTTCTCCCCGACTGTCTGTTCTTACCATGAAGATGATGCCGAGGACAGCGAGCCAGCGCCGCAGGTTAGAGGCAGGTTTCCACTCAAATTTGACCCAGCTGTAGGGAGTGAACTGGAACGCAATACGCTTTATTTTACCCCTGAAAAAGAAAACGACAACACATGTAGAAACAAACACCGTGATGCAATTGCCTTCCTTGGATTATATGAGGACATGTTTATTTTAGGGAATAAATTATCAGCGAATTAGGGAAGAGCAATGAAATAACACATTTAAAAAAGCCATAATTATCAACCTGATCAATACTCTGGGGTTGTAATTAGGTTGTAATTATTGCAAAAAGACTCAATGACTCAATCCCTAACAATTAACTAAATAAAATAGAATAAATCATACTTATAAGAGTGAATGTTCCAGAGTCCCTGCCACTGATAGGGCTTCATGGAGAGCCAGGCCAGAGTCTTCATCCCGCAGTAGATCCCCAAACCGTTACACACCAGGACGTCCATGATCCACTGGAGCACAAGGTTAGGGGAGTTAGATCAGTTACAATTACAGATATCATTTCAACCACAGACTGTATGAAAAAGTGGACTAAGCGAATATGACGTCACCCACAGAGTTCAGCGCCGCTCAAATGAAGCTTGTGATGCTAACGGTTAAGGCTGTTTTATAGTTCTGCGTCGACTCAGCGCGCACTGCTGCCAATCACCTTTGATTTATTAATCTGCATCAAAGTAATTCATCGCCACAAAATAACGCGGAAAGCGAGAACAGGAAATGTATGTAGAGCAGATGTAGAGAGGACCAATCATAGCTCTTAGGGTCTACGTCGTTTCACCCTGCTGTCTGAGTCGCTTCAACGTGTAGATACGAAATATCTGAGGTGCATGTTGGTTGACGCAGATGCTCTGCAGTTCAAGGAGAGGCAGACATCGCAACGACCATAAATTGCGTTTTACAGGTGGGAATTTGGAGCCTATTATGAATAGGATTTTTTTGACTGACAAAATAGCAGGAAAAAAAAAAAAAAAACAGGATCATGTAGAGCGAGTTAATACAAACATTTTAAGACCAAATTACAGAAGCTCACAGCAGCAGTTACAGAGAAAGGAGCCGTAACATTCCAGCGTAAATCAATGGGAGCCAGAAGAGCCACATGTGCACTTCTTATTTGGAACACCACAGGTAGTGTGTTACCTATGTCCATTTGTTTATACAGTCTATGATTTCAACACAAAATAAAATTGTTCATTTATTTTGTCCAAACTGAAATACATGTATCATTTATGTTATAAGAGTTCAAATGGGTACTTTCAGTAACACTAGTTTAACAATCATCATCATCATCATCATCATCTGGAAACCCCTCAAGTTAAATAATGTTAAATAAAGAGGTTCAACACGTGTGGATTTTCTGTTTGTTTTTCTCCTTTCAAAACTAGTGCAAAGGTTGCTTGAAAGGTGCTGAAATAATGACATCATAGTATAAAAAAGCTGTTGCACGTACGTGGTCCCACCAGCACTCAGAGAAGTTGGGCAGCTGGTGCTCGAGGCTGTACTCCAGAAACTCAAACATAACACTGATGATCATACACATCCACCAATCACGGATCATCAGTGTCTGAGGAGGGAAACAGGAAAGAGGGAGAGCGAAATCAGACTATGGCCACACAGTTGTTTCAGGAGTCAACTAGGCTTTTTTTTTCCCCAATTAGTTGATTAGTTAAACAGTTATTTCTGTTGTACACTGAAACTTTATCAATACATTTTAAAATAAAGGTTGAATTGTGGTAACTGAAAACCTGTGATAGAGAATATAAATTAATAAAGTGTATGCCGATGTTTTTGTAATAAACTCTTTGACATGTGTTTTGGAGTCTGTATAGTAGTCAAGATAGTCTATTACCGTATTTTCCAGACTATAAGTCACTACGGAGTATAAGTTGCATCAGCCAAAAAATGCGCAATGAAGAAGAAAAAAAACATATATAAGTCACGCTTTTTGAAAGAAATGTATTTGACAAAATCAGAGGCCAGGAACCAACATTTCATCTTGAAAGGCAAGTTCTAGTAAAAACAATAGTAGAGAGAACAACAGACTGAATAGGCGTTAATATGTTAACGTAACATATTAACAGTTATTCAGATCATTATAGCATAAACAACAGAACATAAGTTTACCAAACTTACAATCTCACTCCAAATCACTAAATCCATTGAATTCTCATCCTCTGTGTCACTTCTGCGATCTCCAGAGGTAAACCATAGAGGTAAACAGAGCGCCGCTTCCTCTTGTGTGTCGCTGTCGTCAGACTCAGCATCAGTTCCAGTTAGAATTATTTCTGCGTTTCTGAATCCCAACAGGTTGGTTTTGATTGTCCTTGAAGTTGAGGCTTTATTCATCCAGTGACTTCCAGGAAAGTTGCAGCCGCCTGGTTACCATGAAGCTGTGTTCTCCATTCCCGCTTTCCGCCAGTACCTCACAAGTTTCTCGCTCACTCCACTCTACTGCTCGATGACCGTTTTTGGCTGCATATTTCACTATTTGCAGTGAGACAGTGGCTATTTCTACAGGAGGCAGGCGCAGTAGAGTGTGAAGTGACAGTGGTACAGGAGTAAAAGTAGTACTAGATACTGACACACAAGCCTAGAGCCTCACATGGCTGTCAGACTGAAAATTTTAATAAGTAAGTCGCACCAGAGTATAAGTCGCAGGAAACACCCAAACCATGAAAAAAAGTGCAACTTATAGTCTGAAAAATACGGTAATCATGATTAACATTTTAAATTCACTATATTGTACATTTTACAAACGTAGTAGCACTGGTAATACAGTAATAGTTGTAGTAGTCATAGTCGTGGTAGTTACCTTGATGTACCATCCCAAGAAGTGAGCTGGCACAAATCCATCCATCTTGTCCTGAAACACACCATGATACATTTCCTGTGACATGTTTGTGTGAGTATCAACAGGAAAGAGCTGCTTAAAGGAAGGAACAAGACAAGAGACATGGACTCATATCTGTCTTGCCCAAACAGTCACAAATGTACAATTTTAAAAACACTGTTTAACTGTGCATTTGTCAGACTGTTTACGGGATTCAGATATTTTCAAGATCATCCTTAAATTCATTTTTCTCTGAAGTACTAAAGGAAAAATCCATGTTTATTAGGACAGCACCTACTGATGTTATCTAGATGTAAGAACCTGCAAAAAATATGGCCATTATAATAAAAACAATTTCTGTTTCAGTTTTATTACTGAACAGAGAGAACTACAAATTTTGTATAGTACATATATATGCTGAGGAAAATTACATAAATATGACAAAAAATTTGGAAAAAAAAAAAATCTGTTCTAAATAGTTATATTATGGATCAAGACCATACTGACAATATTGAGGAGAAACAGTAGTAGTTCAAAGTAGTTAAGTAATCAGTGTCACTATCAGTACCTTTTCAAATACATTTTTTGGAACAGATTTTTGACAACCTACTTTCCAAATACAACCAAATCTAAACCAGGTCTACACCAGGTCAAAACTATGGCGCTACAGAAGATCAAAATGAGGTGGACTAACAAAAGGAGGTGAAATGTACATAGAAGCAAAACTAAGCAAACACTTAGGCTGCGTTCAGACTGCAGCCTGAAGTGACCCAAATCCGATTTTTTGGCCCCTATGTGACTGTATCTGATCTTTTAATGACACAGATCCGATTTTTTCAAATGTGACCCAGGACACTTGGATATGTGCTCCTGAAACTGATACATATCTGATCTTTTGACATGCAACTTCAGTGTGAACGGACAAAGCGCATGAATCCAACCTACACGTTATCAACAAGACACAAACGTCACTATTCTGCACTGAAGTAGGCGGAAATTGTTAATGAACTCCGTGTCACTGAAGTGAAGCACATCACCACTCACCACTCTTGGCTCCGTCTCCACATCCACACGTTCCTTTCAACAGACTGTCCCACAAAACACCACGGCCAAAAACCGTCCTTCTCCTTCTCAGTCTCCTCCTTAAAACAAGTAAGTTGTTCATGTTCTGGCTCCGGTACGAGAGGAACTTTAAAATCTCCAGGTGCTCAATGCTCGCGTCCATGTTCGGACAACTTCCGTAAACACAGAGCACGCTCGCTGCGGTTGACGTCATCGTGTCTCCAGTGCTCATGTAGGACACTTTCGGGCCGTTTAATGTTCACACTGGAGTCACATACAAGTCGCATTTAATTGGAAATGTGAACGACCTCGCAAAAACATTGGATTTCACAAAAAATCTGAATTGAGCGTTAAGCCCTGCAGTCTGAACGTAGCCTTAGATTTTTGTCATTAAATGATGACCATAAAAAGTGGTTACAGTGAAGAAATGTCTCACCCAGATGTTGTGGAAGGGGTCTGTGGCGTTGTCAGGGTCATACATCAGACAGTTGCCTCCATAGTCTCGCTCCGGGAGGGGGACCCCGAGTTTAGGGTCGATGTATTTCATGAAAATACGACCATCATGAACAGTCTATTATAAAAAAACACAGTAAAAACATTTAAAATACAATTGATTTAAAAAAGGCTGTACTCAATTTTTATGTAGCAGAGTAAAATTTGTTTTGCTGTCTAGGTCTGCAAGTTGAATTTGAATGAAATCGAGAACAAACTACTGGCTTAAAGGACGAAAACCAACTCTGCGCCAGTAAAAACGTGTGGAGTGAAGCAGAGTTCGGACTTTGGAGGAGACAAATCAACTGTTTTGGGAATGATTACAAGACTATTGTTTATGTTCATTACATTAAAACATTTATTTTATTTAAAATATTTGGTTGTTTTAAATAAACAAACTATTAAATCTAATTGAAAACTGTGATTGCTCAAGATTTTTTGCCATTTTTCCAAGTTCTATTTTGCCCTCATACAGTTTATTGCCAAAGCAGCTCTCACGTGGCACCACCAAGCCAAGTTACAGGTCAGATCTGTGGAGGAGGAGCCCACTCACATATTTTTTGAGCAATAAAATCTACTTAGATCAAGTTTAATGCAATAAACTTTAATAAAATTCCAGGCCAAAAAAACATCTCCATGGAAACAAGCAGGTGACCAGGCAGACTGAGATTATATTCTGCTTTTGTGTGACAACGCACTCACCTGAAAGAGGATGAAGATGAGGAAGAGCTCGTAGACCACACTGACGCACAGCCAGAATCTCCAGTACGCTGTAAACAAACAAAAAACAGTCAATCATTTCATATAATCAGTTTTAAAGGTCCAATATTAAACAAAATTGACTCTTGTGAGCTTTAAGTCATGTTATAATGTTGTTACCTCATCAAAAAACACACACCATGGTTTGTGTTTTGTTTCATTCACATCCATATTCACAATTCTTTATTATTAGTCTGTCTACAACTCCAAAGCTCAAAATGCTCCGTTCAAAACTGTGATGTCACGAAGCAGTAGTTTTCAAGTTAACAGCTCCTTTTACCTTTAGTTTGATTTGTCAATTCCACGTCTGAAATCATCCGTATGATTCTAGTGAAGGTGTATTGTGTTTTTAAACTCCATGGAACACAGATTTTCAGTTTGAGAGAAGAACTCAGCCTAAATGTGCAGGATTTGTGTGTTAAACGTGTGAATGAAACAAAACACAACTCTGTATGTTTTTGACGAGGACACAATATAATAGAGACCAGAAAATAGCCTCATCTGGGCCTTTAAACGAGTTACACAAGAACAGAGCAAAAATATGACCCCTAAAGTGCATCTCTAACCGGATTTAGCACACCTCATGATCCAGGCACAGTCACTGAACTGCCCTCTGTTTCCCTGCAACAGCCTCAACCACAAAATGGCACTGTGGTCAATGCTCACGTACACACTTCATTTTAGTCGATGCGTGTCACATTAAAACATTAGCTCACAAAGAGTTGTATTTAAAAACATACCGTAAAGAACAAGTGACTCTCAGCTACTGTCAAGCTAAAACTTACAAACATTTCAACATTTTATACACTCTTTGATAAGGCTGAAAACATGTCATCAAGTTCCTGTCTTCTAATGTGTTCTAGAAAAGCTGCTCGTCCTGTTGTTTAGACCTCAACTACGCATCTAACTTTCTTGTGTTAGTTCAACCATGACGCTTCAATGTTACTTAAACTTAATGCTTCTTGATGCGTTTCAGTGTGCAGAGTTTTGACACTTTTTTGTACCTAAAGACACATTGTGTAACTTTTCTGGTGGCCGCTGAGTCCTCATCTCCATGGAGATGTCATTGCTTTGCCTGGAATGTGCCATAATATGCACACACAATATCAGACACATTGTCAGTTTACATAAAAACAAACACGTGACACCACCAAGCGAAGTTACAGGCCAGATCTATGGAGTGGAGACCACGCCCACAGTAAGAATGCAGGTTTTTCAAGGTATTTTTGAGCAAAAAACCCCCCCAACAACTTGAATAGAATGAATGCATGATGGATATGTTTAATTGCACACTGTGGAATATTCCAGTCAAAGCAACGACGTCATCACAATAAACCTGTGCAATTAAATGAATTTTGATCATGGTTTTCAATTTGTGTGTCAAATGATCTTCAAACTCATTTAATCAAGTTGAAATGATAAAGCTTTACAAAGTTTATTTTGGGATTTTTTTTTACTATACTCTATTTTCTGGGCTATTAGACGCGCTCCAACCCCACCAAAAAACGGTCACGCGCCCCATAATCCAGAGCGCCCTATACACAAATCCACTCAGGTGTCCCAGCACGACTTCAGTAAACTACAAAGCCACACCACCCGCAGAACACACAAACACACATGGAGCAGACAGGGACCGCACAGCCAAACACACCCACAGACACACTCATCACTCCACACTGACGAGGAACGGAACAGAGGAACGAACCGCAAAAGTGAGTGCAACGTACCACTTCTAGACACGACTGAACAACTGAGTCACTGCGAACACGCCGACAATCCGTTGGTCCCAGACAGCACCCTCCCTACACGCCACAACTGAACAAAGCCCAGAGTCACCGTGAACGAACAAACAAACAAAACCACTCACCCATCACACTGTTGGGTTTCTTTTATAGTCCGGTGCCGTCAAAATAGTTCAAAAATAGACCATTTAATGACAGTGCGCCTTATAATGCAGAGCGCCTAATAGCCCGGAAAATACGGTAAATAAGTATATTTATTTTTAGTTTTAAATATAGAGATTGTAGTACAGCTGGATATAGAGTTTATTTTGGACACATTTATGTTTTTCTACCAGTTTATTTATTATTTTGTTGTCTATATTTATTTTCAATTTGAATGTTTTGCGTAAATTATCTATAACAAAGTGGGTTTTGTTGAAAGAGAAATGCTGAATAATTGCACTGTGTAACCAAAAAATAATCGTTTGAATAATCGTGGTTTCAATATTGACCAAAATAATCGTGAAAATGATTTTTTTCCATAATTGAGCAGCTCTACATCACAGACACAAGCAAGTGGTGGATCCTCGCTATAAAACTTACACAGTGTACCTTAAAAAAAATAAATAAATAAAAAATCTCTAGCACATGTTCAGGCCTACTTCTCAAGACAACATACTCATGTCCACAAATATAGTCTACACATTTTTGCAGTAATGCTGTAATTTGCAAGATAAAGATCAGATAAAATCATTATTAAAACCATTTGAAGTTTACTGTCCTGGAGCTGTATTTGCTCCAGGACAGTAAAAGTATTAGTGAGAATCTGTTTTCCGTTTTTCACATTTTTCACACAGTAAAAAGTCAGGCACAGTCCTTTTAAATGATTAGCTTTAAATTGAAATCGTCACGGTAAAATTCTGTGAAAGACTGTTTCTTTGAGCTACATTGACTTATTTGCGTTGGGACAACTTTGTGCCAACTTTTCTAAACGGCTCTCAGGCCTCACCAGGCATCAGAATATGTTATGAATGTTGTCAGTGTTTTTCACTCGGTTTGAGAAGCACCATCAGGTAAAGCTTGTGTTCGTCTCCACACCTTAATCCTCTATGGATCTGCTCCCATGAAACCACCGCCAACATCAACAAATGAAGCAATGCTAAAGCCGCTGTTCGGGTTTTACAGGTTGGGCTGTGACGCAATTCAACTACCAACCTAAACAACCCCCTTTAGTCCTAACACAAACCTCACAGTTTGAGCTCAACAAAGACCAAACCCAAGCGGCATGTCGCAGCTAAACCTCGCCAGTCCACTTCATGCATCAAATCAAGTGTCCTAGGCTGCACCTCTCTCCTCTCTCCTACCTCCTCCTTCCTTCCCTTGTCCCCAGAGAGATGTTGGTTTCATGACCGTAACCACAAACACAAATTCTGCCATAGAGACGAAAGACAAGCACCTGACATGTGGAAAATAGATTGTGCTGGGCCTGTGGGTTTAGTCAGTCTATTCAAAATCGGACACAATCAGCAAATCGCAAATGACTATAATTTCATCCACAAACAACGACAAATATTAGGTCTTATTCTGCGTAAAACCCCGTAGTTTAGATCTGTACAAACACGTCCTAAAATGTGATTCTTGTATTAGTCTGTCATGTGAACTTTAAACAGACTCCTTTTGTTGAAACATAAATTCCAAACCTAATCACAATGTCTGTCAGAAAAACTGTAATTAGATTTTTTTTTTTTTCTCCCCCCCAATATCGTTGTCAGCAAGAATTAAAGAAGCTGTTGGATTTACACACACAATTAGGGCTGGGCGATATGGAGCAAAAAATATATCTTGATATACAATATATATCTCGATATTTGTACAGAAAAAATAAACCCCCAAAACTGAAAACTGCAAAAACAAATATGCCAAATACCACAAGGTCTTTTTTTATTGAAGTGAAAGACAGGTAGACAGTTCATGTAGGAACAAAGTCCTTCTGACACATTTAAGATTACAAAAATCCCTGATTACATAAATAATAATTCAACTGTAAAATAAAAGAAATAATACATATTGCCTTCTCTTCATTCATAAATAAAACAACTCAACTCAAACTCATCTTTGCATTAACTCTGTTATCCATAACCATAACCATGAGCTCCTTTAACAGAAGAAGCTTGGGAGGTTCCTTATTATCCATGTTCCTATCCAGCAGTAAGGAGCTCTGAGGTTTCCCACAATCCACTGCGCATATCAAACCGAACATTTCCAAACACTGTTGTACAAGTTACACTGCAACAGATTATTAATCAAAATCTTCTACATAAATAAACTTTGCTTTACTAAACTTGACATTATAATGTGTTTAATGCAGTTTTGTGCACATGTGTTTACGTTTTACAGAAACGAAACTTAAAACCACATGACTCATTTGCATAAACAGCTCACTCCTTGTGCCGCTGATGCATTCAGCTTCTGTCGGACTAAAGGACACGACTCTGTGGAATATGAGTGTTCCCTCTGTGACAGAGGATGTGCTGCTGATGGTTTTGTCTGTAAATGGTGGAAAAGGTTTGTGTTGCTTGAAGTTTTTCACTGGCACCAACTTTCGGCGTTCACAGAGACAGTGAGGAGTGAAAGAAACTCAAGCAGCAAAATCAGGGAGGTGGGCGCACGCGGGGGTGAAATCAGAATTAAATATAAGCATTGTATTGATATATACAATATGTCAGAATCCATATCGAGTAAAAAAAAAATAAATAAATAAAATCTAGATATTTTTTAAATATCGAGATATCGCCCACACCTACACACAATACTCAGTTTAGACTGAGGACTGTGAGGCACCCAAAATAATCTCTCACAACAATTACATCATCACCTAATATATAATAAATAAATCAATGACACCAAAAATTTGACATTTAAAATTTTGATGTATTTCACTATAATGAGGTAAACATTTTGGTGACTCTTCCCACTGTGAGTAAAGGCCACCATGCACTACAGGATTTTAAACAACAGGGTCTTAAAACTATTTTTAAACAGCGACAAAAAGCGCAGGAGAATCTTATGAGACTTAAAATGTCCAATCGCAAAGACTGCAGTGGGATATGTTTGTGGGCCACAGGATATAAAGTCGTGAGCAAGATCACGTCTGCTGTTTCCTGTGTGGGGTAAAACGACTTGCTCTGAGACCCTTAAGTGTTTAAAAGATCAGAGCTCTGCACTTCTAGTTTAGATACAAGTCAAAACTGTGTTATTATTATCTGTGAAAGGTGGAGCAAAACTTCAGATACAGGATTTTTAAAGCAATGGGGATAAAGTTCACAGGAACAGAGTCACTATCACTAATCTGCAGCTTCACCTCGATCCGTGCGCTGCGTGGATGTAAACATAAACAGACCCACTTGAGGAACTATCTCGCCTTTAGTAGCGCTGTTTTATGGACTAGATGTCATTATTTGTAGAGGACAATTTCTATGGATAATGTGGATGAGATGCTGCAAATTTACAAGAGGTGAGGAATAAAGTCTCATTATTTTCACAATATCCCGAGTTTGTATCTTGTGCCTCTGTGTCCTTCACTCCTGACTCTCCTGACACGGTTTTATCGTCTGTTTCCGTAGCGTTGCTGATGTTTGGTGGGTACAATGTAACAGTGCAGCTCAGAGTCACTGACACCACACACACACACATGCATGCACACACGCACATGCGCACGCACATGCACATGCGCACGCACACACGGAGCACAGCGGCTTCAAAATCACACACAAAGACTAAATTTACACTGAAACGTATCACTGTATCACCGTATCAGAAACGATTTGCGTCCAGACATGTCGTTTCTGTGTCCGCAAGTCTTCCCTATCCACACAGCTTTGAGCATATTTGTTTACGTTTTACAGAAGTGAAACTAAAAACCGCATGGCTCATTTGCACAAACGAAGCGCTCAAAAAACAGCTCACTCCTTGTGCACTGTTGCGGTTCATCTTCTGTCGGACTAAAGGACACAACACTCAGTGGAATATGAGTGTTCTTTCTGTGACAGAGGGGTGTTCTGCTAATGGCGAGTCTGTTCTGTGCTTCTATCACGTTGGAGATGGTTCATGTTAAACTTTTCAGAGATTATACGTTTTGTCGGTGAATTACTTCACGGCGCATAGACCTACATCAGAGTATCAGTGTTTTCATGTGTCCACACAGTGCCGGATCACATCTGAACTCAGAGGAAAAGCTGGCGGCACCAGATCATCCAAAACAAAAACGACAATATGTACTCGTGTGGATGGGGCCAAAGACAAAAAGTCGGGTAACACTTCCTCGAACTCTGTCAAAAGCAAATCGCAGACAAAATCGAGCAAATTCTCCTGTAGTATGTGGTGGCCTTTAGTCCACAAATGACTAAAGCTTTATGTTGACAATATTAAACTGGCAAAAGCAATCTGAACTCTCACTTGAAAAACATACACTTGCAAATCTAATCTCACTGCAAACAGTCGCCAGAGAAATCGAGATTATTTTCCAAAATCCTGCAGCAGCTTCACATCGTATATGTTTAGCTTTGAGGTGGAGTATTTGTTTCCATAATAATCAGGGACCTGTGCCGGTAAAACTCTCCTTAGACTCTACTTCAGCTCTGTTCACTCTCTCACATCAAACTGCATTTGTGCTGTATTGATCAGCAGCACTCAGACATTGGCCATTGTTGTATTGATCCTTATAATGTATTCTGGTCTACACTCCTGCCCATATATTAAAAAGAAACAATAGCACGACACCTGAGTATCTACAAATGGAAACAACACACCAAAATATACATGTACATTTACAGTGCAAATGCAGGCTGCAGGTCAAAAGTTTAGACACACCTTCTCGTTCAATGTTATATCTTTATGTTACCACTTTCTACAAACTGAAGACCTCTAATACTAATATATGAAACAAGATGTAGCAAAGTAAATCGAACTGAAGAGCTTTTTTATATCTTAAAGGCAGTGATCAAAGCAAAGACGGGCTATTTTTACTACTGTAATTTCCAGACTATAAGACGCTACTTTTTTCTCACACTTTGAACCCTGTGGCTTAAACAATGCGGCAAATATATGGACGGATTCTTTGTTTGACACACTGTCCATTCATATATACAGTCTATGGAAACGTCTGAAACTTCAGTAGTCGGACATCCACTCATACCTGATCGACACAACTAGCACTGCCCCTCGGGAGAGTCTGAAATCTGCTGAAATCATCCAAGACACTGACATGATACAGACAGAACAGCGGCTCTTTCTGCAGGAGACATGTGCAGTAGAGCGTGGGGAGAGACTGGGCGATGCGCCAAGGAAGATGCTCATTTGATTGTGTTTTGAACAGTTATTTTGAGCTTCATACACACAACCTAATCATGGAAAACACAATAAGAAATGCAAATGAGGCAGCTTTTAAGTTAAAAGCGATTGTGGCTGTGGAAGAAGGAAACAGCTGCTCAGTGAGTCGATGGTGAGATTTTGGCGACGGCAGTGTGACGAACTGACTCAACACAAAAAGACGACAAAAGCTTTCAGAGGAGATAAAAGCAGACGACCTGAACTTGCTGAACTTGAAAACGTTTTTGAAGACGTGGACACCTGCGGCTTATATTCAGGTGCGGCCTGTATATGTACAATTTTAAAATTTTTGTTAAAATTTTGTTGATGCGGCGTATATTCAGGTACGCTCAATAGTCCAGAAATTACGATGTATAGGCCGCACCTGAATAAGCCGCAGGTGTCCATGTCTTCAAGAACGTTTTCAAGCTCGGGCCGTCTGCTTTTATCTCCTCTGAAAGCTTTTGTCGTCTTTTTGTGTTGAGTCAGTTCGTCACACTGCCGTCGCCAAAATCTCACCATCGACTCACTGAGCAGCTGTTTCCTTCTTCCACAGCCACATCAATCGCCGTTAACTTAAAAGCTGCATCATCTGCATTTCTTCGTGTTTTCCATGAGGAGGGTGTGTGTATGAAGCGCAAAATAACTGTTCAAAATACAATCAAACAGCATCTTCCGCCTGTCCCCGCGCACTGCTGCGCATGTCTCCTGCAGAAAGTCTGTCCTGTCTGTATCACATCATGAGTCTCGGGGGCGGGGTTAGGTGTACGGATCAGGTATGAGTGTATGTTCGGCTACTCAAGTTTGAGATGTTTCTTCTAGTCATTTATGTGGACGGGTAAGACGTATCCCCTTCACTAATGTTCATTTAGCATCATAACTTATTTGAACACATGGCGATAAACTATTTGAGTGCTCTGACAATATCGTGAGCTAGTGTGGCAGCTTCATGTTCACCTTACATCCACGTGGAACCACACAGACGGCGGTGTCTTCTGCACTCAGACTGTGTGTATCCGCTGTGTTGCCAAACTGTAGACTGTATATATGAATGAATGGCTTTTATTCAGGTGCACTCAATAATACAGAAATTAGGGATGAGCATTCGATGAAATTTTCTTAATCGATCGTCGGAAGAATTAACGATCGATTATCGATTAATCATTAACGTTTTTATCTTAAAATGATCATCATTATTATTACTATCTGCACTACTAATCTGCATAAATAAATTCAACTTTATGACATAAACCGTAACCACTCTAGAGCCACATCAGCCCGTTTGACATTATAATGTGTTTAATTCAGTTTTGTTCAACTCTCACAGAAACAAAACTTAAAACCACATTGCTAATTTGCATAAACTAAGTGAAGATAAAACTCCAGCTCTTGTGTCGCTGATGTGGTTCAATTTCTGTCAGATTAAAAGACATGACTCAGGTGAATACAGGTTAGTGTGACCATATTTGTGTTTGTTAAAACCAGGACACCGTACGGTGGGAGGGAGGTGGGGACTTGTCATCCACATTGAGCGACTCTCACCTGGAAAAACTTTTTCCACTGGACACTGAAACATATGTGCTGCTTTATACACTGTGCACATGGACTCACACTTGTCCCGAAAGCAACGGAAATCGTGGAATTTCTTGTACAAATCATCGTTAAATACACATTTGTGCTTCGGTACGTTGCATGCTTGTTTGCTCGCTCCTTCTGAGTGCAGAGAGACACATGTACGGACCCCTGTTTGGTCACGCTACACACAGCAACCTACATTCGGTTTGTCGATTAAAATTAACGTAATCGATGAAATTCTTAATGATCAATTATCGATTAATCGATTAATCATGCCCATCCCTAACAGAAATTACTTATTTTCTGGACTCTGTATGCTCTTCTCTAGATAAAAAGTAGCTGGTGGTAGGAAATAACAGTGATCTTTAAATACCTGGATGTGGTCTGGTGAAGGGTCCATCTTTGGCTTGTGTGACTCCAAAACAAAGAAACACCAGGATACTAGCGACGATCCCTCTGAAAAAGCACACACATACAGTAAGTCAGAAGGAAAAGCAATGCATGTAAAAATAATTACACTCTAGTTCATCTGTGCTGGCGAGAGGAGACTTTGTGCCAGTTTCTGATTGATGTGGGCACTGAAATGACTGAGATCTGAACCATAAACCACATCAAAACATCTCAGTTTAGTTCAAATGCATTTTTTTTTTTTTACCATAGATATACACTTCTATCCTATGAATACAACCAATCAGTATCAACAGCAGTAGTATTTAGTTTTAATTACTTTAAAGTATTTAAGTATCGATATAAAATTCTAGTAACTAAAATGTGGTAAGTTTTAACAATAGATATAGAAACAAACACAAACACACTGCAATTAATTATTTTCAGTGCCTTGGCTTTACTAAATTTTATATTTCTATTATTTTAAGACTTTTCCTAATTCTGTGTCTTGAGAAAATACCAGACGTCTGACCTGCACTGCAACATTCCAAACCAAAATATTTCCAAAACATTTCTGAAGATCATTTACATTCCCGCTCAATTGAACAGATATTTGACCTTCTTGGAGACAGCTCTCAAAAGGGTAATACCTGGAGAGTGTGGAGGTGTGAATGGAGGGGGCTATTTTTAGATCCAGTACATTCAATAAGAACAATGGACTGAATGAGGCTATGGGTGAAGCCAGAAATGTGTTAGATAAAAATATAGGATGTCTTGTGAATGTTAAAATATATATATATATACATAGGGTGCGTGATTTAGTCCGTCTAATCATCAGCTGAATGCCCGACCTGAAGCTGAGCAGAGTTGGGCGTGATTAGCTCTTGGTTGAGAGACCACTGGGAATACCAGGAGCCACAGAGGAGCAGCAGTGACTCTGCTCCATGCTGCCCTTGTGTTCTGAGTGTTCTTTGTGCCTAGTATAAACATGGTGCGAGTACCATAATTTTCGGCCGATAAGTGGCACTTTTTTTCATGGTTTGGGTGTTTCCTGCGACTTGTAGTCCGGTGCGATGCACTCTGCATTATAAGGCGCACTGTCATTAAATGGTCTATTTTCGAACTTTTTTCACAAATAAACCACACTGGACTTAAAACGAAACCCAACAGTGTGATGGGTGAGTGGTTTTGTTTGTTTGTGGCGTTCATGGTGACTCTGGGCTTTGTTCAGTTGTGGCGTGTAGGGAGGGTGTGTCTGGGACCAAAGGATTGTCGGTGTGTTCGCAGTGACTCAGTTGTTCAGTTGTGTCTAGAAGTGGCACATTGAACTCGCTTTTTCGGTTCGTTCCTCCGTTCCGTTCCTTGTCGGCGTGGAGTGATGAGTGTGGCTGTGGGTGTTTTTCGCTGCGCGGTCACTGTCTGCTCCATGTGTGTTTGCGTGTTCTGCGGGTGGTGCGGCTTTGTAGTCGTGCTGGAACACCCGAGAGGATTCGTGTATAGGGCCCTCTGGATTGTGGGGTGCCCAATAGTTTTTTGATGCAGTTAGAGGCTTAAGAGCGCGACCTATAGCCCGGAAAATACGGTATATATTAAAATGTTCACAGTGAAGCCGTGAGAGGCTCTAGTCTGTGAGTATCTGCTGCTCCTGTTCCTCCTGCACCACTGTCACTTCACTCTACTGCACATGTCTCCTGCAGAAAGAGCCTCTGTCCTGTCTTTTGATTGCACCATTACTTCTGTACCACTGAAAATGTAACATTTAAACAAACTTATAAAGATGACTGAAAACATCCTGTCGGGATTCAGAAAGGCCGGAATAATTCCAGCTGGAACTGATGCCGAGTCTGACGACAGCGACACGGAAGAGGAAGCGGCGCTCTGTTTACCTCCGGAGGTCGAGGCCGAGTTGTTCAGAAGTGACACCGAGGATGAAGAATTGAATGGATTTAGTGATTTGGAGTGAGATGGAGAGTTTGTTAAACTTGTTCTGTTCTTTTATTTATGTTATAGTTTATCTGAAGAACTGTTCATATGTGACGTTAACAGTCTGTTGTTCTCTCTTCTATTGTTATTACTACAACTTCAAGATGAAATGTCTGCTCCTGGTCTCTGATTTTATCAAATAAATTTACCCAAAAAGTGCAACATAAATCTGTTTTTTTTCTTACACATTTCATTTCTTTACACATTTTTTGCTGGTGCGACTTATACTCCAGAGCTACTTATAGTCCCTAAAATACAGTCAATGGTGGTGGTGAGATGGCACAAACTAGCAGTCTCACTTCTGTTAGTCTGGCCCAGGGCAGATGTGGTTACAGTAGCTATAGTAGCTGAAAAAATGGACAATTGGTTATACTTAATATTATTATTATGATCTCTCTGGCAGTGTTGTCAAGCCCACTTCTGTACCTCAGAGTCAAACTGATGAATATTCAGTAAATGTAGAATAGATGACTCTGATGATATGATAATGTGCTCTTCTCCTTTTGTTTCCTCAGACTGACCTTTTGGTGTTGTAAGTGGTGTCCTGGGGCGTCTCTTCCAGCAGAGTCACATAGACGAGAGCACAGGTCAGGATGAAGAGCACGGTGATTGTGTGGGCTCGCCTGCACGCACAAAGGGTCATACCGTCTTCAATAGAATGCATTATACCAAACATGTCTGTGTCCGAGTTCATTTTATCAATATTTTTGTCCACATTTCCTGTTATATACTTGATTTAAATCTGGTGGTACTGGAAAAATCTAAATCTTTTCTTTAGTGGTACTCTGTGTGAAACGTTTGAGAGCAGCTGCATTATATGAGCAAATTAAGTTCAGCTGCAAAAAATACCAAATGCCAAATGAAGTGGCACTTCAAAATGACAACTGTAACCCTCAAAATGGCCCCATTACACAGCAGAATTTTCTAACATTTTTGTGGAATAAAATCAAGCCTCATTGATCAAATCCACTCTCCTGTATTTTCAAATTTTACCAGTAGAATATTTTTTTTAAAAAGCTAATTATTTTCACATGTTCTTACTCAAATCTCTGTACTTGACCTGGTTTTAATGGTGACACCTAAATTCAGCTGAGCCTGTTGTTTTTAACTGTCCATGACATATGCCTCTCTTAATATTAGCATCTTGACTAAAAGAGCGTTAAGCGTCTAAAAACAGCTCGGTAACTCAGCAGAGTCACTGAGCTGGTGGGGGGTGGGGGGCTGGTCTGATGCAGCCTGTGGCTTTGGATGTGGGGAGCCAAGAAACCACCACATTTCATGTGATTAGAGGCAGGAAGGATAATTACAAGGGCTAAAAATAACGATTATTTTAAGACAATTATTTATTCATTGAGCAGACTAGTTTAACTGCAGGATTTATTTCATACATTTAGATTTAGAATAAATTTTTTACACAAAGGGTGAATTATGATTGAGAATATCAACAAATAAAGTGTATTATTGTTGTTTTTATATATTGACAAAAAAGGAGTGTGAAAATTATGAAAATACAACAATGATTATGCTTTTGGTTTAATAAATGAGAGTTTATCTACATTTTTATTTTAGGTTTTTTTGTAGTAAATACACACACAAAACAAAACACACAATCTCACTTTTCTAGCAAGAGGGTTCATTCCAGTCAATAAAATCTCCTTATAGACAACAGGTCGTATCATCAGAAATGTTAGGCAGTTCACCTTTATAAACCGATCTCTGCGTCAATATCAACCAATCAGGGCATTTACAAATAGTACGGTTACAGGCTGGACAAACTTAACACGTGTTTGTGCGTTTCATCGGACCATTAAGGGGCTAAAGTCGTTCTTCACTATCAGCTGCTCCCTATAGAAATGAACGAGGCCGGGAGGGTCTAAGTCCAGCCGCTCTCCTGCATGACGCTCTGTGGGCCAATGAGATGACATCTCCTGTGGTGTGATTCTGTGGGGCTAATCCAGTCCACTTGTACCAGAGCTAAAACCTTTACCAAACAATCTTGTTTATTCTTTCTACTTTCCTGGGGTCTAATGTGAATGCTGTTCTGAAGATATCCAAAATTTGAAAACTGTAAAAACTTAAATACTGCAAGAAGAAGTAAAAGTGTAAAGTAAGATTAGACATTTTAGTTGAGTCTTGCCACATTTGTCTGATACATACAACTCAATAAATACATTTAAAGTCATGTTTTAGTACATTTCAGTTGAATTATTGTTATTAGGAGCACAGATGTAAAAAACAGTGAGATTTTTGTCAGTGTAGCCCACTCATGTGCATATCATTTTGTCTATGCACGCTCTTCAAAATGAATATTTGCCACTTTGCCATTTGCCATTCGTGTTTAGCTGATTCAGTATTTGCACAGATAAGACCTGCCTGCCTTAGCCTATTCCCTTTATGTTATTCTTTATCAGTGCAGGGGAGTAACAGATTACATGTACTGGCGTTACGTAATCAGAGTACAAATTATGAGTAACTGTATTCAGTTACAGTTACTGTTTCAATGAGTGGTAATTGGATTACAGTTACTTTGCTGAAATAAATCCCGTTTTCACATTTTGAGCTAAACCAGGACTAAAACCAGGACTAAACCCAGGACTAAACCCAGGACTAAACTAGAACTAAAACCAGGACTAAACTAGGACTAAACTAGGACTAAAACCAGCAACATAATTGAAGGGAGCAGTGATCTCATATAAAAATCATTTCTCTATCAATAATATTTTTAATATAGTTAAGGAAAGACTTGTTATTGTCTTTTAACATCTTATGTTAAGATTTCCTCGTTTTTGCTTCTCTACAGTAAACAGTTGCCTGTTTGTGGAGACTTGGGCTCAACAGACAATTTGAAGAGAACAAACAAGAATTTTCAGGATGTGGTTGGTACATTCATGTAGTTTTAAAAAGCATGACAATATCAAGTAATCCAAAGTATTCAGATTACGTTGCCCACCTTAAATAATTTAATGGATGTTTACATGTACAGATCTGTGTCTAACTTTGTGAAATATCATCTCACAATACTTCCAATCTTGCTAAAAAAGTTAAAAGTCATCATATACTAAAAACACTACTGTATTCGTTTTTTCCGTGTTGCAAAATCCCAAAAGGCTTTAGCGTGTTTGAAATGGCAGAGACTGTGACTTGGTAACCACAGCGGACACAACGAGCTCATCTTCATACCTGAAACATGACAGCAGCTCGTTCTGACACCCGCGAGTGAAAGAGTGGGTCAGTGGGAGACACCGAACGCATTTCAGAGAATAAGATTTCACTGTTTTAGCGCACTCTAGTAACAACATCATTTATTTATACGACAACAAGCACTCAGCACCTTGAAATGCATCTGCTGAAAGGACGTATTCATTAGGGGTGTGCAAAAATATTGAAATATCGATTTATAGAATCGTTTGAGATGATACAGTGTCGATATCATGCGCTGCTGTATCAATATATCACCAAGAGTATTTTTTGGTGTATTTTACTAAATTATTTTGTTACAGCTACAGTTTTGTTGCTTGTTTTGCAAAAGGAAACTCCTTTATAGGGCTGGGTATCGTTAAGAAGTTGCCGATACGATACATACCTTGATAAATAAGGCCACGATACGATACTTATCTTGTTACAGTGAGCTTTCGGTTCAACATGATGTATTTCAATACGGTTTAATAAAAAATAAAGGCTAAATCATGGCTGCGATACTAAAAGTCTTTGTTAAACCACTTCTTGTGCAAAGTTCATATGAAACACAAACATTTTAATCACCAAAAAAAAGTGAAAATATCAAATGTGTCACATAAACGAGTTTCCTTCGTACAGGGTTCCAACTCTTTTTTATTGACAAAATTTCAAAACTTTTCCATGACTTTTTCATGACCTAAAGAGAATTTTCCATAACTTTACGGCTCCTACACGTGTAGAATTGATCAGATTTTTATGGCTAAATATGAAACGTTAACTCTTTCCATTCACTTTATGATATGGCATTAGGGATGTATCGATATCCAAAGCTCTTGATACGATACTCACTATACGATATTTATTGCCATATTTTGTGGAGGCAAAAAATAATAATACAGAATTGAGAGTATGCTACTTTTTTCTCATCATTCAAAAATCCAAAAACCTACGATTTTAAAGTTCATCAAAACAGTTATTTCAGCATGTAGATTGGACTGAGACAGAGCAAAGGATCATGGTCTATGTAGTTCTCACTATTTTTTAGCTGTTCCTGCACCAAAATAATGAATTTAAGCAACGAGACTTGAGATTCAATATATTGTGACGACCCACGATATTATTGTGAGAAATCTGACGATACGATATCACAATATTTCGATTACTGTTACATCCCTATATGGTATTATACTTTCTGAACATTCAAAATCCTGTCAGGGCATTTACTGTCATCTCTTTTAAACAAAAGGCACAAACGTTCAGAAATAATCAGAATAGCATAATAGCCTAATGAGAACTTAACAGAACACTGTAGTTGCGTGAAAGAGATACTAAAATTCTATGACATTTCCAAAGCTTTCATGGAATTTACAAAATTCCATCACTTTTCCAGCATTTCCATGACCGTGGGATAGTAAAATATACCAAAAAATACTCTTGGCAATATATCGAAACAGCAGCCCATGATACTGATACCCAGTGTTGGGGAGTAACAGATTACATGTACCGCCGTTACGTAATCAGAGTACAAATTATGAGTAACTGTATTCCGTTACAGTTACTGTTTCAATGAGTGGTAATTGGATTACAGTTACTTTGCTGAAATAAGTGGATTACAAGGCGGTATTTTCCTGTTTTCACATTTTGTGCTACATCCCATTTATTTATTTTTTTATTTCGGTAATTTCACTCATTGCTGGAAACCCAAACAGAACGCGCGCAATAAGAGCGATGTAAACGTCATGTTAAAGTTGGCGGTGTCAGTCACACAGTGGAAGCAGCAGTGCATTGGTAAAAACGCATTTGTGTCTTGGAAATTTTTCTCCCGATGTGAGATATATATAAAAAAAACTAATATAAAATCGCCTACAACTTAAATGTGAAACCGGAGCTACTGGCACTGGTGAAAACAACCTGCATAGACTCATAATATCTGCACTACTGTCCTATAATGACCTGCCACATGAGTGGACGTGCACACAAACACACACAAACACAAACACAAACACACACCAACACACACAAACACACACCTTCATCATCGTCATCAACCTGAGAACCCGCGGACCACGTCTCCTTCCGTAGTTACTGCGCGGACACCGCCGTCTCGTGCGCCGCGTGTGGACTGTGTTTTCTCGCGTAAACCGCACTTCCCCCTGTGCGCCTCTAAACCAGAACTAACACCAGGACTAAACCAGAACTAATCCAGGACTAAACCAGGACTGAACCAGGTTTAAACTAGGACTAAACCACGACTAAACCAGAACTAAAGACCTGGTCTAGACCTGGTCTAAACCAGGTCTAAAATCAGGACTAAACCAGGTCTAAAAATCAGGACTAAACCAAGTCTAAACAACATGACACCTAACAGTAGGTTGACATAATTTAAGGTGATCTCATATAAAAAATAATTTCTCTATCAATAATATTTTTTTTAATATTAAGGAAAGGCTGATCTTGTTTCTGTCTTTTAACAGACAAAACCTCTTATATTAAGATCTCGTGGTCTTTGTTTCTCTACAGCAAACAGTTGCTTATTCATGGAGACTTGGGCTCAGACAATTTGAAGACAACAAACAAGAATTTTCAGGATGTGGTTGCTACATTCATGTCATTTAAAAAAACATGACAATATCAAGTAATCCAAAGTAATCAGATTACGTTACTCACTTTAAGTAATTTAATGGATTACGTTACAAACTACATTTTGGGGTATGTAATCTGTAATCTGTAGGGGATTACATTTTAAAAGTAACCTTCCCAACACTGCTGATACCATATAATCATATTAAACGATCAATTAAACGATATATAAATATTTATAGATTTTTACACAGTCTTAATGGAGACAGAAAAGAAAATGTCATATTGTGCTACATTCCAGCCAGGCCAAGCAATAATATCATCTCCAAGGAAACAAGCAGGTGATGGACCCTCGACTACAAAAATGTCACAGTGCATGTTTCAGCTACGGACAGTGACTCTAGGTGGACGTAACCTGCGTTTAACCTTGACCACTTCAACGAAAGAGCACAGGTTTTGTTTGTGTAAAATTGAATGACAAAATACTCACCAGAAAAACGTGTTTGTGCCATCATCATACACCTCACTCTCCGTATTCCTCCGGTACAGGCTTTCCTTGGACGCCTGCTTCATCACCTTGGGTCTGACCGGCTCCGTGTGGCTCTGCTCCACCACCGCCCCGTTGTTGACCAGCTCTCCGGCCGACACGGAGCCTTTCCCGCTCACGACAGACGACGAACTCCCGGCGGTTCCCTTCTTGGCTTCGGTCTTGGTCATGTCTGTGCGCCACGCTGCTGCTGCTGCTGCTGCTGCCGCCGCCGCCGCTGCTGCTGCTATGATGACAAAGACTCCGGTTTTCTCCTCGCATGCGCTCCTCCGTGTGTCATTCGACTCAGCCCCACCCCAGCGCTGTCAACATCCTATAAGGTTCAGACATTATCATGAACAATCAAAAAAAAAAAACACGTAACCCGATTTTCTAGTTAGACAGGAGGTGCTTTCTTTCCCTATCCAAGAAAGAATTAACGCTCCGGCTCGTCCAATACGCAAATTCCTCCCAGGTATCGCCTACGCAGCCAAACCAAAATGCGCACAACGACACAAGACACATTTACCTAAGCAGTACCAAGGGCTTTTCTCATTTCACACTCAGTTGTAATCATTATCATGCCATTATTGCTGATATCTGCCAAGTAAAGTAAAGTTGTAACCACAAATGTCATCACTCAACGATATTGCAACATTTTTACGCACAGAGTTGCTTCTTTTAACTCTTTGTTAGAAGCTACAATTCCCTCAGCAGTGATTAATATCGTGATAGTGTTTTCTTAAAGCTGATTTAATTACTTTATAGTCACAGTTTTAAGAAATTAACTAAAAATAAATCTGTAAGCCAAAAAAAGGGAAACCATCACGCGTAAAGTTATTAAACTGAAACCGTGCAAGCTACAAGTGTTATTATTTTTAAGTAAAGCTACCCAAAACATCCACAGTTAACAAAATTAGTCTTTTGAACAGGTATATCTTCTTTAATTTTCACAAAGGGGTGCTCAATTGACTGCGGGGGTACAGATTGGTTCGGCGCTCTGGCACAGCTTGGCTAAATGCGTTAGCTATTTGTAGCAGCCGATTTTCTCCCACCCGACCTTGTGCTGCTAACAAGGCTGTAATCAATTAACAGAGACAAAACGCCAAGTCAGTATCCGCACTAATCTAAGCCAGTATTTCTTTACAAATAATGCAAATTAGCGTCAGATTTGCGGGTTAGGTGTTAAAATCTAAAGCTAACCTGACTCACCAGATGAACTGAAAGGATTAAGGCAGCACTCCGAAAGCGTGCAAACTCCGTAACGCGATTTATCTACGCAAAAGCATGATATCTGCTTCAAAATAGTCAGAAAACATCTAAAATTTGGTCCAATTTAGTGTTCAGCTTTGGCAACAACAAACAAACATCCCCAGACTGAAGCGCACATCACATGGCACAGCTCCTGGCAAGTTTAGAAACGCCAAACAACTACATCCGGTTAGTTTTCTTCAAAATAAAACCGAAGTGGAGGATTCGGTTTGCAGAGGGAATATGTTATGTAAAATCAACTTTAGTTAGCTTTAACCAGGCTCCTGTTTTCACCCACTGCTCTGTATTTCTTGTTTTTTCGTTAGTTTGATTGTCTTTTTGTTTGTTTATTTGCTTGTTTTTCTGTCTGTTGTCTGTCTCTCTCTGTCCATTTGTTTGTTTATTTATTTTTCTGTTTTTCTGTCTGTTTCTGTTGATTTGTTTGTTTTTCTGACTGTTTCTGTTTGTTTATTTGTTTGTTTTTCTGTCTGTTGTCTGTCAGTTTGTTTACATAAAATACAGAGCACAAACAAACAAAATGCAGTAATAATGATGTATGTATTCAATATTATGTCTTAGTAATACTAAATCTTCCCCCAAAAACATCAAATGTCTCCCTCATTCAGCAGTCGTCCTTCCGAGTAACAGGCAAAACTTAATATTTCTCTCTTTTCGGTTATGGGGATGACAATATTGATGACGATGAACATGTAAAATGAGCTAAAACATTCCTATAAAATACCACATACACACGCAGTACTTATTCTCTGTTTATAAACTTTTACTGTTTTTTTTTTTTTTTTTTAATCATTATTATTATTATTATTATTATTATTATTATTATTATTATTATTATTTGTTTGTTTTTCATTCTTAACACTATAAGATCACATTCTTAAAACTATAAGATCATTTGACCAAACAGTCTGATAGTTCTGCAAAACATTACGATGATGAGCGGGCCACGATGGAAAATCACACTGTCCCACATGATCACATAGTGTGACAGGAAGTTCTAATTTCACCTGACTGACAATTACTGTCATGAATTTATCAAATGTTCCAAAAAAACAAAAACAAAAAAACATATATAATGTTATATGGTGTCATGTTCTTGACTAATTTTGACACTTGAACATCTTGTGCAGATGATGACTCAGACAGTGAAATGATGCTGACATGTTTTTGGAGAGAAAAACCATCAGACTGAGAATCAACTCATCAGTTTAAATCAGCAAGATCGATTTATTTGGGAAATGTGCTAAACGTGGATCATTGTGCAAACTGTAGGCGACTTGTACAGAACCATGTACAAAGATCAGTAACAGATTACATATACTGGAGTTACGTAATCAGAGTACAAATTATGAGTAACTGTATTCAGTTACAGTTACTGTTTCAGTGAGTGGTAATTGGATTACAGTTACTTTGTTGAAATAAATGGATTACACCGCGGTATTTTCCTGTTTTCACCCCCCCTTTCTTTTTTTCTTTAATTCCACTCATTGCTGGAAATTAAACCAGGTCTAAACTAGATCTAAAACCAGGTCTAAACCAGGACTAAACCAGGTCTAAACCAGGACTAAACCAGAACTAAAACAGGACTAATCTAGGACTAAAACCAGGTCTAAACTAGATCTGTCTCCTCATCTTCTATCAATAATATTTTTAATTTGGTTGAGTAAAATCTGGGCTTTTTATTTTCTTTTAGCAAAAAAATAAATAAATCTTATGTTACGATATCCTCGTCTTTGCTGCTCTACAGCAAATCAAGTAATCCAAAGTATTCAGATTACATTACTCACCTTTAGTAAATTAATGGATTACATTACAAACTACATTTTGTGGTGTGTAATCTGTAATCTGTAGGGGAAATATTTTAAAAGTCACCTTCCCAACACTGGCAAAGATGGACGGAGACACTTGACACATGCACTAAGACATTTACAATTTCTAACGACTGTAAGATGGTTTGGAGATTTGTCCATGTTGTTTTGAGAATGTCATTTCTGTTTCAAGAAATGAGCCAAACCAATGGAGAAAAACTGTAATCGTTGTATTATTCTATAACTAGAGCATGTCATGATAAATGGTCACATTTTTCTATAGCACTTTTCCACCTTCAAGGCACTCAAAGCACTTTACAACAAGGAACCACTCACCCATTCACACACCAGTGTACGCAGACACTGTGGGCAAGGTGAGTTAAGTGTCTTGCCCAAGGACACAACAACAGCATTCATCTGTGGGAGCTGGAATCACACCAGTCAACCTGTGGGTCAGTGGATCTGACCACTCAACCTGTGATGTTTATGTTGAGAGATGGAATTGAACTGCCAACCTCCAGATCAGTGGGTGAATGCTCTACCAACTGAGCTACTGCCGCCCGTAAGTAATTCTTTATTTATATAGCACTTTTCAGAGACATATGTCACAAAGACGCTTTTCAAGAGCTGGAATCGAACCGCCAACCTTCAGATCAGTGAGCATATCATACATAATATTCACATTTTGCAAATACAACTTTTTCTTATCATCCATTATTCTATCTCCCACCAGACCCATTTGTAATAAACTAGATCCAAAACAGGATTTCTTGTATGACTAAAAAAAATATATATATATATATATATCCACATAAAATAGGAGCTTTATTTTGAAACCTGCTTCCCGCTACGTGCTCCTGAGTTTAATTGCTGCGCGCTCAGTTCATGGATCTGTCTCTAATCATTAAACCAGGATTAACTCGCATTTAACCACATGAAGCAAGAAGACACAACATCACTTAAGAGTGGATTTAGGAATGCTTTTTTCCACGCTTTGATTTGAAGAGACTTAGTGTTCTCATTTCCGGTTCTCCTGAAGCAGAGGTCACCGTCAGGACTGCACAAACAAACAGAGCCAAGAGTTCATAGTAAACACGCTCATTTTTCCACTGCACCATCAGAATCAGATAGGAGGCTAATTAAGGCAATAAGAAAAGAATAACAAATACTAATATAAATAAGTCTATCTATTTATAGCCTTTTAAATTGAATTATGTCTGGGTTTCAGATGACATTCCTATAGGCCAATAATATTTAATACAGATGGGGGCTGCTAAAGTAAATACAGTTAAAATGTAGTTTTTTTGTAACACAGCAAGTTAAAGGGTTTAGTCACCGATAGAAAATATTACATTAAAGATTTGTGAATAAACTTTTTGGTTATGTCATGATTCTACAGATGGGACCAAGTCGTTGTTTTGCAAGTCTCAAGTAACTCTCAAGTCTTTGACCTCAAGTCTGAGTCAAGTGAGCCCCAAGTCAAAGAAGGTAAGTCCAAGTCGTGTCCTGAGTCACTGGTCCATAAGTCCAAGTCAAGTCCAAGTCGTCTGCTTTGAGCTTCAAGTCATTTCAAGTCTTTAAACCAAAGTACCAAGTATAGGTTTTTGTCATTTATATGAATTTAAACTAAATTGTACATAAAAAGTCATGGTATATTTATTAGAAGTATTTATATAAGAGTTGTAGAGATGTTATCTTTTGTTTTTTAAATGTCTTGACGAGATCTTAGGCTACTTTCAGACAGCAGGGCTTAAAGCTCAACTCCGATTTTTTTGTGAAATCCGATGTTTTTGCAAAGTCTTTAACATTTCCAATTAAATGTGACTTGTATGTGATCCCCTGTGTGAACGTTAAATGGCCCGAAAGTGTCCCACATGTGCACTGGAGACACGATGACGTCAACTGCAGTGAGCGTCTCTGTGTTTACAGAAGTTGTCCAAACATGGACGCAGCATTGAGCACCTGGAGATTTTAAAGTTCCTCTCGTACCGGAGCCAGAACATGAACAACTTACTTGTTTTAAGGAGGAGATTGAGAAGTAGAAGGATGAGGTTTTTGGCCGTGGTGTTTTGTGGGACAGCGGCAGCGACGTCCGTTGAAAGGAACGTGTGGATGTGGAGACGGAGCCAAGAGTGGTGAGTGGTGATGTGCTTCACTTCAGTGACATGGAGTTCATTAACAATTTTTACCTACTTCAGTGCAGAATAGTGACGTTTGTGTCTTGTTGATAACGTGTAGGTGGATGAATGCACTTTGGCCGTTCACACTGAAGTCACATGTCAAAAGATCAGATATGTATCGTTTCAGGAGCACATTTCGAAGTGTCCTGGGTCACATTTGAAAAAATCTGATCTGTGTGGTTCAGACTGTCATTAAAAGATCAGATACAGGAACATAGAGGCCAAAAAATCGGATTTGAGTCACTTCAGGCTGCAGTCTGAACGCAGCCTTAGAGTGAATCATGATGGTCAGAACAGAAAGAATTCAGATTTAAAAGTACTAAATAATTTTGCACTAATTTTGCTAATAATTTTGCATAAGTTATTTGCCCTGAAGTATCAGGTTCTATGTAGTTGTCAAAGTCCCTCTAGCACCTCTGACCTCATCTGCCACTCCCTGAGTGACCACCTCCTTCCCCTCCTCTTTTGTGTTTCAGGAGTGGAGACAGGTGCTGGAGCCGTCCTCAGCTGAGCCCACTCTGCAATCAACAGGGTTACAAAGTGACTCAAGCCAGCTCAGTACTGCCAGATCGTAATACTCCTTCAGTCAGTGCTACGTTCCATCTACGTTTGTGTAACCTACCTGTAACTTGTATACTTACCATTTGTCCATCTGCCTCAGATCTCCGTGCTCCAGCCACCTGCTCCAGCCTCCTACTCCGACCTGCTCCAGCCTCCTACTCCGACCCTCCGCTCCGACCTGCTCCAGCCTCCTACTCCGACCTGCTCCAGCCTCCTACTCTGACCTGCTCCGTTCTCCTACTCCGACCTGCTCCAGCCTCCTACTCTGACCTGTTCCATTCTCCTACTCTGATCTGCTCCAGAGTCCTGCTCCATCCTGTTCTGATCTGTAAAATTCCTGGGAGCATCTCTGTAATAAATATCTATTGATTCTCTTTTGACCTGTGTCTGCTCTTGGGTTCCCTGGCTATCTGTCACAGTAGTTCCTTCTGTATATTAATGTAAATTACAGTATTGTACTGTATATTACTGTAGTACATTTGAGGATACCACATCACAGTACTTCAGTTCCATCCAAAGTACCAAACAGAAGTAGGATGTTCCAGTTTGTTTCTGTAAAATTAATAACCACATTTATCAACTGTAAAGAGAAAAG